GCTGGCTTTATCCCAGTGTTTGTTTGTTAGTTAGTCGACCACATCTGCCATTGCATTGGATTGTCTGCGCATTGCTGGCTAGCTAGCTAACGTTAGCTGGCTAAACATAGCAGAAAAGCATCTGTCATATGCAGATTTGACAGCCAACTAGCTAGCTAGCCAGCTAACTTGGCTCTTTATCTATGGCAGAGCGCACACTGGATGCTCTGGCCGAGGAGTAGGGTTGATCCGAGCGTTCTGACCTAACAACAGCAGTCAAGCACCCAAGCTAACTGGCTAACGTTGGCTAGCTTGCTAGCTACTTCCAGACACAAATGAGAGAACAGCTCACTCTGGCCATTTTACTCGCCCTAGCAGAGCTGATTAGGGTGTTTGTATGTTATCCAGAGCGTTGGTGACTATAACTGTGCTGCTGGCAACAATTTCATTACGCTTTTTTGCCAACGTTTACTGACACCGGCCATATTCAACGGGTGTTGAGCATTCGTAAATTCTGACAAAATGTAGAAATGTGTAATATCTGAAAATGTAGCTAGCTAGACTATCTTACCTGTATACATGGATGGACGCTCCTCCCACTCTGTCACAGATGCCATAGTTGCCCTTCGTTTGAAGATGTAAACCGGAGACAGGTGTTTTATACAACAACCTTCAGTGTGTTCTCTTTTTGACTGCATATTTGCAATCAAACAGCAGAATTTTCCCCATCTCCTTAGCTATCATTCCACTGATTTCAAAACTCGGTCCTCCAGAAAGTGGAGAGCAACACTTATGCAGTTCTACTATGTGATATCTTTCAAAAAAGCTGCATTAGAAAGGATTACCAACACATACTGACCAGCTCATGTTATAGACAGAAGCGTGCTACATGGCAGACCAATCCGAACTCATCTAATAATAATAATAATATATAATAATATGCCATTTAGCAGACGCTTTTATCCAAAGCAACTTAGTCATGCGTGCATACATTTTTGTGTATGGGTGGTCCCGGGGATCGAAGCGCCGAGCTACAGAGGACCATCTCTCTGCATGTCCAGCCCACTCATTATTCAATTTACGTAATTTAGCATTATCTCAGCCGATCATGGCTAGCGGGAAGGTTGCTGTCTTTTTCCGTGGCTAAACCAACTAGGCTCGTAATTTAACAATTTTATTCATATTTACAGATGGCATACAAGTTTGTTATTAAGGCAAATGAAAGTTCACATGTTCCAGAAGGCATTTCTGCCAAAAAACGCCCTTTGATAAAAAAAAAAGTTTAAGTTCAAATGGCTCTCCTGTGAAGTAGTGACGCGCGACATATGCCTAGTTTCCTGAAACCAGTCACATATAGCCTATCCCACCTCACGCTGCAACATTGCCAGGCTGTGCGCACGTGAAGAGCTGAGTGAGAGATTCATTTTCAGAAGCACTGCTCACAGGCATAAAAGTTGATTTAATTTACTTAAAATGAAAGTCTACTTAAATGAGACTTTGTACTTGTTTCTTGGCCATTTACATTGTTTTCTTCACAAGCTAGGTTGTTTTTCTATGAGTTTCAACTGCTAGGGAAGAGAAGACAACGCTTCTACTAGTCAGACTCAATCTCACAGGCACAAACATGACTTGAGTCGTGCTACCACCTGTAACCTCTCGCCCTTAGAGGCATGTGAACATTGTCTCATCTGTGATATTTTGGTTAAAAGACTCAGGTCACAAAAAATGAAATTAAACAATATACCACATGACCTCTTACTAGTAATACATTTGTTTTAGAAACATTACAAAGCATGCTCATCTGTGTTTTTGGCTGTTGGTCAGGGGCGCATTGTGTGTGGATTTCTCCTCAGTCTGGACGCAATCAGACTACCGAAAGCGCATACAGTGGGCGACGTCATCAGAAAATTTGTGTTTTGGGAGCGAGGCACATTTTTGAATGTATTTGTATTTTCATATATTTTATTAAACGTTGGAGGAAATACTTTCCTAGTGTGTGAGGAACGTGTTTGCTGGCTTCTTAAATGCTAGCCAGCTACCTTATTTAGAATTATTTAGTTTTTGTTTGGCTAGAGTTATGCTAACGTGTTTGCAATTCCTTTAGCTTTGTTAGCTAGCTTACTGGCTAGTTAGACGTTAGCTGGCTAGTTCGCTACAATAGTTTGCTACTGCCACCAAGTTGTTGTTGTGCTATCAAGTGAGCCATACTGGCATTTGAATATAGCGCGTGGAAAAGTGAATTGGGACACAATTTGGACAGTTAGACACATTTAAATGTAGGTGTAGACGCATGATGTGTTCGGAATTCCATCTTCAGAACACCATGATCAGAATACAAAAGCTTGTTTGTAGCCCACCTGTTTGCTTGCCATTCTTCATCGCACCTCTCATCAATGAGCACACGGGACTGTCTCTGGCTGGATGTTTTTTGTTTGTCTTACCATTCTCAGGAAACCCTAAACGCTGTCGTGCGTGAAAAGCCTGAGATACTCGATCCAGCGTGCCTGGCACCGACGATCATACCATGCTCAAAGTTGCTTAGGTCACTCGTTTTTCGTTCAAACAAACAGTAACTGGATGCCTTTCTGCCTGCTTTATATAGCAAGCCATGGCCACGTAACTCACTGTCTGTAAGAGTGATCCAGTTTCGTGAATGGGGTGATGTATGTAATAAACTTGCCTGTGTGTGTGTGTATATACACTGAGTGTACAAAACATTAGGAGCGCCTTCCTAATATTGAGTTGCACACCCTTTTGCCATCAAAACATCAATACGTCGGGGCATGGACTCTACAAGGTGTCAAGCGTTCCACAGGGATGCTGGCTCATGTTGACTCCAATGCTTCTCACAGTTTTGTCAAGTTGGCTGGATGTCCTTTTGGTGGTGGACCATTCTTGATACACACGGGAAACTGTTGATCTTGAAAAACCCAGCAGCGTTACAGTTCTTGACACACTCAAACCGGTGCGCCTGGCACCTACTACCATACCCCGTTCAAAGGCACTTAAATATTTTCTCTTGCCCATTCACCCTCAATGGCACACATACACAATCCATGTCTGTTGTCTCGAGGCTTAAAAATCATTCTTTTAACCTGGCTTCTCCCCTTCATCTACTCTGATTTGAAGTGGATTTAACAAGTGACGTCAATAAGGGATCATAAATTTCACCTGGTCAGTCTATATGTCATAGAAAGCACAGGTGTTCCTAATGTTTTGTACACTCAGTGTGTGTGTGTGTGTGTATGTACGTACATACACTGAAATATTAAAATAGTTGGTTGTGGATGCGTCCTCATCATGGTAATAGGCACACAAACTAGCTTTGTCAAATAAAACAAACGAGCTAGTTGCAGGATGGTTATCAATTCAAGTTGCTGTCACATGCTCACTCAAACACTACAGTAGCTGCCTGTGCATATTAGTCCAATTTTAAATTTGCATGCTACCAGCTCTTTCTGAGTATTTGCCCTTTAGGTCATCTTTGAGATGGGTGTAGTCAAGAAGAGAAGATCAGCCACGCCTAGGCAACCAGGACTCGGGGGTAGACATAACATAGTAAATGTAAATCCAGGACACTCCAATTAGTATATGTTACATTTCTTATGGTATGTATTAGTTTGTGGATTTCAATCATCGTTTTTGTATGAAATGTTACGAATTACAATTAGTATGATATGTTACAAATTACAATTTGTTGTGGTTAACGTTAGCTAGGCTAGGGGTTAGGGGAAGGGTTAGCAAACATGCAAAGTAGCTAAAAACTATTAAGTAGTTGCTAATTACCTAAAATGTTAAAGTTGTCCATGATGAGATTCTTACACGCAACTTTTGGGTTGCTAGAAATTCGCCTTATACGCCCACCCATTGACCCCAACCAACCACCTGCTTTGCTACACAGAAAGCAGCAGTTGTCTACTCCATTGTTAAGACTTTGATGAAATCAGTAGACCTATATCAATGTCTTTGAAAATACCATATAAGTATGATTAGCTTTTAAAACAAATATTTTGGACCAGAGTGAGGCAATCGCTCCACTAGCCTACATATTGTTGCTGCAGTGAGGAGGATTCACCATCTTCATAGAATGTTTTCATAATTTATCTGCAGATGATCGCTAAAAAGCTTACCGGTATGTAAATCCGAGAGCCAAATGAACTGCTCTCTTACCAATGCAATTCGGTAGCCTACTGACGAGTCACTCACTTTTACGTCACTGTCTGGCAAGTCCTAATGGACTTCATATCGAAAATACAAACAATATCTTTAGTTTACTTGACCCGATGCGATACCATGGGCATATAACTATGTTGTATGCTTTATGAATGGCCAGGATATGGGATTGACTTTATTCAGTCAGTTCGACACCATTTATAAATTAGTCAAGCTTGCTGTTCATCAATCAAATTACAGTAAGCCTATGCGCCAACCCTTCGTGGCTGTATATGAAACACGCAAAATAAATTAATGTGCCAGAAAACAATAGACTAAGTGGATTTCGACTCATCGTTACCACATTATATGGGACGGTCAAATTGACTCATGTAGAGAATGAAGGAGCATCATGCTCTTCCCTCCGTGAACACATATATTTGACTGCACACACATATACTGGGAGGCGGGACAGACCGCAGACTGTCAAACCAGCAGTGTTTGCCTGTCATCGCTCACTTTGTGACTGACAGGCGCCTATCCTATCAATAGATCGCTAGAAGATGCATATCGTTCATTCTAGCGGGAGAGAGCTCGGCAGATTTTTTTTCTTCTGACTTCCGTATTGTAAAGAAGTTTACTAGTTAATTTAAGTGGAAAAAGTACCCGCTGAAAATGAGTCTAACCGGCTGTATAGCCGACAGCCGGCGCTAGTGGAAAATGCTGCCAAATGTAACATAACATATACACATTTGAGCGTCCCGGATTTACATTTACTATTACATCTAGTCTATGAGACCAGGCTGGCCTAGGCGGTTCTCCTCGGGAGCATTCAGTTTCATTTGAACGTTTGCTAGCTACGTTGCGTAATGGTTCGTACTGAACGTCACGTTTCCCCAAAACGTTCTTCAACAGGGATGTAATCATTATTGGACAAATTCAGGTAGGTCCCTACCCGTTTTGTTCCGTTTAAGAAACGTTTTCCAACAGAATCTGAGTATTGAAAACGCACCAGACTTTGAGGGACGTTTGGTGGGGGTGGCGTTCAGAACAGCACTGTTTCCGTTTAATTGACCGTTGCAGTAAAAAAACACCGTACTGAATGCAGCCCAGATACGTTTTGTTTTTTTACCCAGGGGTGGCCAACTGGGTAAGAAAATGAGTATGCATAATGCAAGCTATTGAGTAGTACTTTGAAACTAAGGCCCTTTTCTGTTCCAGGGAGGAGTATGGAGAATGATGAACTTTCGTCAGCGGATGGGATGGATCGGCGTGGGGCTGTACCTTCTGGCTAGCGTGGCCGTCGTCTACTATGTCTTTGAGATCGACCAGACATACAACCGTCTCACCCTGGAGCACGTGGAGCGGGTGGCTCAGGAGCAGCAACCTCTGGCAGGGGACAACGCGCCTACCACCGCATCCTCTGGGCCCCCCTCCTCCTCTCCTCCTCAGCCTCGCTGCCCACCTGGACCCAGAGTCTCAAGACTCACCTGCTCCTCTTGCCCTTCTGGGTGTGGGTCACCATCTTCCTTGTGCCCTACCTTCAGGTGTTCCTCTTCCTCTACTCGTGCACGCGAGCCGACCCCAAGACGGTTGGCTACTGCATCCTGCCTATATGCCTGGCGGTGCTCTGCAACCGCCACCAGACCTTTGCCAAGGCGTCCAATCAGATCAGCCGGCTGCAGCTGATTGACACCTAAAGTGTCCAACCGGTTGAGACGGTGGATGATATGAGAGGCGGGGTGAGCAGCCTTGGTGCATGCTGCACACAAACTAGGCGGCGGCCTACTACTCTCACACCTGAACTCCAGGATGCTAAACACTCACCTAGTGCACTGTGGGAAGTCTTAAGCCTGCCAGACATCACTAGGCAATTCCCTTGGGGGTTTGGTGGTGGTTTTGTTGATGTGTATGTGTGCTGTTCTTGAGATGAACAATGGTACGTGTTTCACAACCCTTTGTATTTGTGAATTCTTATATTGAAGAAAGGCTGGACCAAAGGGTGCCACGCGCTCCAGGGGCACCACAGTACCTGACTACGATACAGATGCCAATCATTGAAGGTTTGTCTGTTCACTGCAAGGTCCCACACTTTTTTTTGAGCAAATAATTCTGAGGGGAAAGTTTGAGAGCCATATTGGTTCAATCATCATCCCAAAACTATTACACCCCCCCCCCCCCCCCCCACAGACTTGAAGTAAGGTGAAATATGACACGTCAACTAATTTGTACAGACAGTTTTAGGAATGTGATGCCATTTAAAAAACAGTCTTAGTGGACCAGTAGTGATTCTTAGATAAGTACTGCAGTGTTGTTTTGTCATTGGTCTGAATGTATTTTGTAGTGTTATAACATGCTTTTTTTTGTCGAATTCTATTACTTGCAATATTTAGGAAGTGTTTCGGGGATTCGTCAATTGGTCCATCTATCTAGTATTTGTAAGAAAAATAGCTTGTGCCTTTTAGGACTGCCCCCCCCCCCCCCCCCCGCCCCGCCCCCGCCAAGTAAATTCAAAGAAAGTCCACACAAAGCACACAGACCATGCTTTTGAAAATACAGCTCTTCTTCTACAGCCATTGTTTGTTGTCCTTGTGTGCCATAAAGTGACGAAAACGTGACATGAAATTGTTTGTCAAAATGTTTTTGCCTTTTTTATGAAGATCACTGGTCCCTTTTTGTAAGCCATTTATGTGGAAATTTGTTTTTGCTAGTATTGTATGTTCAATAATGATCAATGAGTATTGTGGAATCCTTCTTCGCGTATGTAAGCTACGAGTCAAATGTTCACTGCCAACAAAGATCACATTTCCGATTTTGAAATATGAAATTAGTAATGGGACAAATGGGGAGGGGGGACAGGTACTATTCTGAATAAGTTTTGATTTAGTTTTCCATCTACAGTAGCACAGTCATGAATGTACATAAGGTTTATTTGACCTTCATCCCGACACGGAAGTGGCATGTACTGCTTCGAGTGACCTGACCGAAAGGTAATTGTGCTGGGTCGTGTTCATTAAGGCACACATCAGAAAACATTTTGATACGCTTTGTAACGGAAAATGAATCCAGGTAGTCCTTCCCTGCTTCAGTCAGTTTTCTTCTGTTTGTTGCCTAATGAACACAACCCTGATTTTGTCCTTGAGTATAAAGCGTCCCTCATTGCACAGAGGCCTTGATTGATTAATAAAGGTCACTGATTAGTAAGGAACTCCCCTCACCTGGTTGTCCAGGGCTTATCTTTCACTCCAACCCGTTTCAACATCATTCATCTCTTACGATGTTGCACCCATTAATAACATCTTAGTGCACAACTTGGGTCCTCAGGAGTTGCAGTGTCTACAAAGGGTCGCGTTCAGTAGGCATAAGATGGAGTTACCGCCTGAACTCATAGGAACACTCATTTTGTTTTTTTCACAAGTCCTACATGATTATTTCAATAGTTTGTACACAGCACTTGCCTATAGAGACACTGCCTTTCATGGTTCCTCTTTGGGTTAAGGTTTTTTCTTTTTCTTTAAAAATGTGTCATTAATGGCAAAGGAATACGCTTGTAGTAGTAAAAAATAATAATATGGGCTTGTTTGGTCCGTCTTTAACAGAATGACTGGCTGTTCATGTTGGTGCTTCTGATTTTTATTGCCTTTCAAATCTAAATGCACTGTGATTAAAATAAGGCCTGGATTGTAAGAAAATTAAACATGTTATGGGAAAATGTCTGCAGACTTCATGTAATTTCTTAAAGCAAGCAAATGCTGGGGGGGGACAGTGCTGTTCTATTATCCAATGAATGGCCATTTTAACTAAATTTCTACGAAACACATTCCACTTAAAAATGATTGACATTTACACAAATGTTCAAAACAAACATTTCAATTGTCAAGCATAACAAGAGAAAGATGTAGATCATAACTGCAATGATTGCCAAGGCAGGAGCAATACCATACATGAGTGGAAATGAATAATAAAGGCTGGCATATCTGCCCCCAAAACAGTGTCCCCGCAACATGTCCTCCAGTCTTGTATGCCAGGACCACCAGACTCCCTTCTCTGACAGGATATCCTACAGTGGGTCCTCTTAAATCCCAAATGGCACCCTATTCCCTACCTAGTGCACTACTTGGGCCCTGGTAAAAGAAGTGAACTATATACGGATAAGGGTGCCATTTGGGACAGAGCCCTTGTGTCGTCAGGCCCTCAAGGTCTTTGACCGCTTTGCAGGAGGCTGCATAATAGGGGCTTTTGTGTTTGTGTCTTCATCATCATCACCACCATCATCATCCTCCTCCTCTCCATCTGCAACAGAAGACAGAAAATGACTTTGTGAACAAGTTTTTTGGGGGGTTGACAGGATAGAAAACAAACCAACAGACATTACACAAATACACATTTATCCCCTTCCCACCCACAGGACCTGCTTATTTGAGTACATTGCCTATATAGTGATTTTACTATCAAGTGTTGTAGTCCATATGTTAATATTGGACTCTTTAGATTGCATCAGTTTATGAAGATAAGATTGATTACAACCAAACCTGTCACGGACTGAGAAAGGTTCAGTAAAATAATCTGACCAAGCCATTATTTTTATTAGATCTCATGTAGCGCAAGATATTGAGCATGGTTACATATTAGTAATCAAATACCAGGTATGTCAGCAGAGATGTTGCATGTTTTAATGTTTGAGGAATATTCACATCAAATCTATGTTGACACTTAATTTATGCAGCTTGATAACATGTTGCAGGCATGACACACAGCTGATTGATTTGATAGCCATCTGCCTATATCTGATATACATAACGTCTTCAAATGTCCATTGTTAAATCATAGGCCGCCTACCTATAGTCATAAGATGGTTGGTAAAAACAGAGGAATATAACATTGTTTCATCTGAAATGACAGGCTGCAGGCTTTATGTTTTAAACAATTGTAATTTGGTAAATTGTGATATCGGGAAAATATCAGCAAACAACTCAATTATCATATCAATACTCCGATGGAATCAATTAATCTGTTCACATGCACACACGTAGTGACAAGATGTTTGTACGTCACACAGTGCCATCATAGGCACAACAAACGTGTTCATGCTGGCTACATTAAAAAAAAGGCTATGTAGCCTAGCAAGCCAGTTGGTTTGATGCTGGGAAGATCGGAGCTAGGAAGTAGCTAGCCCAAAGACAGCTATATAACTCCCTTCTCTTATCAACGTGGGCGGTTTCTCTGACCATCCAAAGATTTACTAAGGTTGGGATTTGTCTATAATGATTTGAATAGCAACTAGCTCTATCTACCAAAAGGCGTTTGTTGTTTTCTTCCAGGTCATGATTAGCTAGCTACCAAAAGCGATAGATTTCGTGATAGACAATAGCTACAATAAAAATGAATAGCTAGGCTCAATAGAAACAGAGCAATTCGTGAACCTTGTTTTGTTTTTACAAACATTCATTGGTGTAGCTACGCGTGTTAAGTGACTAAAATGTAAATGTTAATTAAGCGAGCTAGCTAACCAAGCTCACCATCATCGACTTGCAAATCCCCCTTGTCATTTCCTCCGCAAAATTGTTCTTGTACAACGAGATCAGTGAGAACCCTCGATACGTCTGCGTTTAATTTCTTAATCCCCACTATCATAGAAGTCAGGTTGTTTTCTGTTTTTATGATAATCTCTTTCGTCAGGCCATCCCTGTATTTTAGCTCTCCTCGTATCTCAGTAGCTGCCATGATTCTTGAACCATGACCCTAGTTTGAACTCTGACCCGAGTCATGCGGCATTTTGATTTTGATTTGTTCAGAGCCTTGTACTTTGAGACTTTAGCCATGTTTGCACAAATACATATAAATAACCTCTAACTAAACCAACAGGTAGAGACCAATATTTTAATTATCATACAAATGTGAAGATCTCATAAATGCTTTTCAGAAACTCCCCGCCAAGAGGGTGACATATTAGCATAATCCGGAAATCGTGCTGATGTTGTCATTGTGAGGGGGTTCGAATAATCTAGCCCGGTCGCCCGTGTAGGCATGTTTTGCACTGGTTGAAAGTTGATTGCATTCGATTTGGAACCGGGCTGCCTCCCGGGCGTGAGCCAGGTGCCCTGCTCTGTCCGACGGCGATGTCAGCGCAAAACAATAGTGACGTAATTAAGCACGTGCCGTAATGAGTAGGATTATTTGTTTCCCCATGCAAAAGTGATTGCCTTTCTGCCTTCCCAGTGAAAACTAATTTGAAATGGTTAACATTTATTTTATGGAAAATAGATGTATGTTTCCGGACGATGCAACATGATTCCTTGTTGACAACATGATCGAACGGCGCAGATTACTGTTCATTTTGAGAAGGGCGCTCCTCCCTCCCCGTTTTCGGCCGATGATGTGCCGGCCCATTGCCCGGTTCAACCCGGGCCAGTGTAAAATAACTCCCTCATTGTATCGGGTTTGAGAAAAACATAAAGCCCAGAGCGCTCCAATATTTGTTTGCTTATTGTATCTAACTTACTGGATCTTTTGATGAACAGAGTATTTTGATACCTCTTCTTAAGTCATGGACATCCCTGTTTAGATTGATCTGGCGCTGTACATTTTGCCCTGGAACAGGAACTTGTATTCACACTTTTTTCACCTTCTATTTTCCAAGAATGGCGGCAAATGAGGGAGATGAGGCTACTGTTTCTTTGGTAGATGTTTTGGAAGAAGATGAAGAGTTGGAGAATGAGGCATCTGCTGTTTTAGCTGGTAGTGATTCTGAGAAGTGTTCCTATCCCGAGGTAGGCTATTTGCTCCACATTGTTAGAGAAACACAAATTCCCCCAATTTAAGTTAGCTATACTACAACTTTGCAGTCTAAGCCAGTGTTTAGTTGCAAATGGATTTTGAAAAATTAAAACTTTGGCGACTTCACCAATCGTATGTCTGCCAACCTAAATTACAAATATAAAGACCAAATTGACATAATTGTTAATAAATTGAACTTGATTTGTGTTTTCATGAACTTGTTATAACAAAATGTCACCTGTGGTTTTATCAAATGTACATTTTCCCTGTTATGGTTAATTGCCATGGTAGACATTGCGTTCATGCTCTACCCAAAGACTGATGGCAGTTTCACACGTGTGTTTGTTTTGATGTGGTCATGCAGGGCTATGTGAAGCGACAAGCCCTCTATGCCTGCAGCACCTGCACACCAAAGGGGGGCCAGCCAGCCGGAGTCTGCCTGGCCTGCTCCTACAAATGCCATGAAGGCCATGACCTTTTTGAGCTCTACACCAAAAGGTGAGTTTCACTGCATTGTTGACTTTTTTCGATTAATCTTTCCTCAATTCCTTGTATCCTCTTTCCTTGCCTTGTTCTCAAAACCTAGTGGAGAAGAAGGTCTGAAGGGAGGGACCTTGGACCTACTCCTCCAAAAAGGTTGAGGAGGTGAGGAGCTGGGATTACGAATTCAGATAGACTGGAATGGACACCTAAAGGATAAGACAGACCAACACAAACGTGGGCCATGCACAAAAAATCAAATGTTGACACATACTGTAAGGCAATATTTGGGTGCTGTGTGTGCCCCTATATCTGTGCTCAAAGGTATTATTGTCCCACGCGATGAAATCGGGGAGGGGACTGTGGATCTGTCTCCGTTCGTTCGTATACTAGTCACATGCGATATCTCCGACAGCACTAGCCCGATTTTGACAAAACGTGGGTGAATGATGCGTCTTGCCACAGAGATCCAGCATTTACAAAATTACACTGATTTGCCCAAGGCGGGAGTTATAGTAATTCATTGAAATTTGTTAGTCACACACAATATCTCAATTGGCCCAAGGGGGAGGAGGGGGATGTTGCATCATTTGTGGGGGACGACATGTTTACTGTTGCCTTGTTTGTCCTTTACCACCCTTCATCCCACTGCTGGCTTGTCTCTGAAGCTAAGTAGGGTTGTCCTGGTCGGTCCCTGGATGGGAGACCAGATGGTGGAGGGCCAGTCGGAGGCATTCTTTCCTCTGGTCTAAAGCAAATATCCCAATGCCCCAGGGCAGTGATTGGGAACATTGCCCTGTGAAGGGTGCTGTCTTTCGGATGGGATGTTAAATGGGTGTCCTGACTCTCTCTGGTCACTAAAGATCCCATGGCACTTATTGTAAGAGTAGGGGTGTTAACCACGGTGTCCTGGCTAAATTCCCAATCATGGCTACCTAATCATCCCAAGCTTCCAATTGGCTCATTCATTCCCCCTCCTCTCCCCTTTAACTATTCCCCAGGTCGTTGCTGTAAATGAGAATGTGTTCTCAGTCAACTTACCTAGTAAGGGTGAAATAAATAAAATCATGAACCACAGCACTCTCTTGCTTTATCTGTGATCTTGCAGTTGGGAACAGAATTTTCCTATAGTTAATCCTGAATTTTTTGCAGGAATTTCCGCTGTGACTGTGGAAATGGCAAGTTTGAAGAGATGAGGTGCAAGCTATACTCAGTAAGTTTCCTTACATTTATTGAAATGATGTGGTAGTTTGATGTGATACTGTACAGTCGTGGTCAAAAGTTTTGAGAATGCCACAAGTATTGGTCTTCACAAAGTTCGCTGCTTCAGTGTTATGAGATATTTTTGTCAGATGTTACTATGGTATACTGAAGTATAATTACAAACATTCCATAAGTGTCAAAGGCTTTTATTGACAATTACATTAAGTTTATGCAAAGAGTCAATATTTGCAGTGTTGACCCTTCTTTTTCAAGACCTCTGCAATCCGCCCTGGCATGCTGTCAATTAACTTCTGGGCCACATCCTGACTGATGGCAGCCCATTCTTGCATAATCAATGCTTGGAGTTTGTCAGAATATGTGTTTTTTTGTTTGTCCACCCGCCTCTTGAGGATCAACCACAAGTTCTCAATGGGATTAAGGTCTGGGGAGTTTCCTGGCCATGGACCCAAAATGTCGATGTTTTGTTCCCCGAGCCACTTAGTTATCACTTTTGCCTTATGGCAAGGTGCTCCATCATGCTGGAAAAGGCATTGGTCGTCACCAAACTGTTCTTGGATGGTTGGGAGAAGGATGTGTTGGTACCATTCTTTATTCATGGCTGTGTTCTTAGGCAAAATTGTGAGTGAGCCCACTCCCTTGGCTGAGAAGCAACCCCACACATGAATGGTCTCAGGATGCTTTACTGTTGGCATGACACAGGACTGATGGTAGCGCTCACCTTGTCTTCTCCGGACAAGCTTTTTTCCAGTCTGTTATTCTAACTCAAATCAGCATGACAGAGTGATCTCCAGCCTTGTCCTCGTCAACACTCTCCCCTGTGTTAACGAGAGAATCACTGACATGATGGCAGCTGGTCCTTTTGTGGCAGGGCTGAAATGCAGTGGAAATGTTTTTGGGGGATTAAGTTAATTTTCATGGCAAAGAGGGACTTTGCAATTAATTGCAATTCATCTGATCACTCTTCATGACATTCTGGAGTATATGCCAATTGCCATCATCAAAACTGAAGCAGCAGACTTTGTGAAAATTAGTATTTGTGTCATTCTCAAAACCTTTTGACCATGACTGTAGTTTGAGTTATAGAGACATGAGGCCAATAACATCATGATAGGCATGTTTTCTATATGAAGCCAGTTACAGGTCCGGCCAAATATATTGGCACCCTTGCACTTTTCTTAAATAATTCCCTATTTCTTCTAAAATAAGTAAAAATTTAAAACAACTTTTGGTCTCCACACCATGTTATTAGATTTTCAACATTGCAAAACCAATTTAATTTTTGTGCAATATGTAACTTTTAGGGGACCCGACCAAATTCACATAGGTATGTGAGTTAAAGATCTGTCATTCTCGTTGAAAGCAAGTCTAAGAAGCGGTAGATATGTTTTATGTGCGCTATTTCTATGCTTCCCGTTCTTACGTTTAGTTTTTGCGTCTTTTACTTTCGGTTTTGTACACCAGCTTCAAACAGCTGAAAATACAATATTTTTGGTTATGGAAAAGGTATTCCACAGCGGTTTAGATGGTGCAATGATTCTCTACACTACACTTGCTTGTTTTGTCACATAAAAGAGGCAGCAAAGAAACCCCATAGCATTATCGGGCGGCAGGTAGCTTAGTGGTTAAGAGCGTTGTGCCAGTAACCGAAAGGTCGCTGGTTCTAATCCCTGAGCCGACTAGGGGGGAAATCTGTCGATGTGCCCTTGAGCAAGGCACGTAACCCTAATTGCTCATGTAAGTCGCTCTGAATAAGAGCGTCTGCTAAATGACTAAAATGTAAATGTAATTATCGAACCTCCCCCTTGTTTGATTTTAGGGAGGGTGTTCTTTTCTTGGTCGTTTTCTTGGTCGTTGGTCATTTGGTCGTTGGTAAACATAGGAAGACCCCACTGCTGAAGAAGGCTCAAGAAAGCCTGATTTGAACTTCTCAACAGCCCACCTAAAAAAGCCTAAATCCTGGGGAAAATATTATGTGGACCAAAAAAACAAAATTAGAGCTCTGGAAATGTAGATCAGCGCTGTGTTTACTGACGACCAAAAACAGCAATTGGTGGAGGGCAACTCTCAAACATTGAAGAATTAGAGCAATTTGCTGCAGTTATTTTTCTGCAGTTATCTTGGCCAAAGGCTGTGCAACCAAGTACTAGCTCCAGGGTGCCAACAATTTTGTCCATGCCATTTGTCTTTGTTTTCTCAATTAAAATAGTCAACTTAAGCATACAAATATAAAATTGGTTCTGCAATGTTAAAAATCCAGTAAAAATCCAATTGGGAGACATTGATCAAGGCATAGAGTACTACATGGCCCATGATGTTACTGATTTCGCATTCTTTCTTTTAGGACAAGGATCAGTTGAACACTGAAAACAAATACAGCCACAATTTTTGGGGTCTGTATTGCACCTGTAACAGACCGTATCCAGACCCAGAAGACCCGGTGAGAGTTGACCATTCACCTCAAATTGTCTATGAATTGGTGTTAAAAATCAGTAATCCAGTAAAGATCTATTGACCAAAACATGTCTTTCCCAGGTTGAAGATGAGATGATACAGTGCATTGTCTGCGAGGACTGGCTTCATGGCAGGGTAAGGCCTTTGTGGAGGACGTAAGCATAAGGATGTGTTCAAGGTGCACATGTCCCTGGGCATGTACACTCCCCTATGTATTTATTTGGACAGTGAAGCTAAAACTTTTAATTTGGCTCTATACTCAAGCATTTTGGATTTGCGAAAAAGTGTTTCATATGAGGTGACGGTACATAATGTCACCTTTTATTTGAGGGTATTTTCATACATCTGCTTTACCGTTTAGAAATGACATTTTTACATTTACATTTTAGTCATTTAGCAGACGCTCTTATCCAGAGCGACTTACAGTTAGTGAGTGCATACATTTTAATTTTTGATACTGGAATCGAACCCACAACCCTGGCGTTGCAAATGCCATGCTCTACCAACTGAGCTACATCCCTGCCGGCCATTCCCTCCCCTACCCTGGACGACACTGGGCCAATTGTGCGCCGCCCATGAGTCTCCCGGTCGCGACAGAGCCTGGATTCGAACCAGGATCTCTAGTGGCACAGTTAGCACTGCGATGCAGTGCCTTAGACCACTGCGCCACTCAGGAGATTTATGGTGTCCTACGCATGCCACAGAGCTTTATGAGCTCTGTCAGTCTCTGAAATGATGTTACACATGGCTCAATGCACTTTATGTATCTAGTCCCCCCATTTGAAGATGTCATAAGTATTTGGACAAGTTCACTTATACACTACATGACCAAAAGTATGTGGACACCTGCTTGTCAAACATCTCATTCCAAAATCATGGGTATTAATATGGAGTTGGTCCCCCCTTTGCAGCTACTCTTCTGAGAAGGCTTTCCACTAGATGTTGAAACATTGCTGCGGGGACTTACTTCCATCCAGCCACAAGAGCATTAGTGAGGTCAGGCACTGCTGTTGGTCGATTAGGCCTGGCTCGCAGTTGGCGTTCCAATTCATCTTAAGTGTTTAATGGGGTTGCGGTCAGGGCATTGTGCAGGCCAGTCAAGTTCTTCTACACCGATCTCGACAAACCATTTCTGTATGGACCTCGCTTTGTGCACGGGGGCATTGTCATGCTGAAACAGGAAAGGGCCTTCCCCAAACTGTTGCCACAAAGTTGGAAGCACAGAATCGTCTAGAATGTCATTGTATGCTGTAGTGTTAAGATTTCCCTCCGAACTAAGGGGCCTAGCCCAAATCATGAAAAACAGACCATTATTCCTCCTCCACCAAACTTTACAGTTGGCACTATGCATTGGGGCAGGTAGCGTTCTCCTGGCATCCACCAAACCCAGATTTGTCCGTCGGACTGCCAGATGGTGAAGCGTGATTCATCACTCCAGAGAACACGTTTCCACTGCTCCAGAGTCCAATGGCGGCGAGCTTTACACCACTCCAGCCAACACTTTGTATTGCACATGGTGGTCTTAGGCTTGTGTACGGCTGCTCGGCCATGGAAACCCATTTCATAAAGCTCCCGAAGAACAGTTATTGTGCTGATGTTGCTTCCAGAGGCAGTTTGGAACTCGGTAGTGAGTGTTGCAACCGAGGACAGACAATTTTTACGCGCTTCAGCATTCGGCAGTCCTGTTCTGTAATTGCGGCTGAGCCGTTGTTGCTACTAGACATTTCCACTTCACAATAACAGCACTTACAATTGACTGGGGCACCTCTAGCAGGACAGAGATTTGACGAACTGACTTGTTGGAAAGGTGGCATCCTATAACGGTGCCACGTTGAAAGTCACTGAGCTCTTCAGTAAGGCCATTCTACTGCCAATGTTTGTCTATGGAGATTGCATGGCTGTGTGCTCGATTTTATACACCTGTCAGCAACAGGTGTGGCTGAAATAGCCAAATCCACTAATTTGAAGGGGTGTCCACATACTTTTGTATATATCATACTTTTGACTACATCAAGCTTGTGACTCTACAGAGTTGTTGGATGCATTTGCAGTTTGTTTTGGGTGTGGTTCAGATTATGTTGTGCCTAATAGAAGTGAATGGTGAATAATGTATTGTGTCATTTTGGAGTTACTTTTATTTTAAATAAGAATAGAATATGTTTCTGAACACTTCTGCATTAATGTGGATGCTACCATGATTATGGATAATCATGAATAATGATGAGTGAGAAAGTTAGAAGCACAAAGATCATACCCCCAAGACATGCTAACCTCTCACCATTACCAATAATGGGATGTTAGCATTAGGGGTATGATATTTATGTGAATACAAGCCCTGGACAGATCAGATCTTTACAATGCCTGGAGAAGCGTTTAACACAGGGTTCTCCAACTTTTGGTCCTGGAGAGCTACTTGGTGTGCAAGCTTTTGTTCCAGCCCAGCACAATGGATTCAGCTAATCATGGTACAGATTGAATGGGTTTGTTCAGTAGGAAGCAACATAGTAAAACATTTAAAAACGGAAAGCGAAATTGAGCATTCTTATTGGACAGGTTCGGATAGGAGCGCCTCTGTTTCAAACTGCTTTCTCACATTTTGTGCCTACTGAACACAGCCCATAATTTATTGATTAATTGTGTTAGTGCCGGGCTGGAACAAAAGCCTGTACACCCAGTAGCTCTCCATGACCAGAGTTGGAGAACCCTGGTTTAACATCTTGTGAACCACATCAAGATAATATACGGATCCTATAATCTGTTGTCATATATCTGGAACGCATCCCAAGTCTTTAACTCAAGTCCGGCCTGGTCTTGACTGTGTACCCTTGATACCATAACTGCTATATGAGCATATGTATATGAGTGTTATTACGGTTTTCATCCAGCACTTGGGCTGTCCTGTGCCAGAGTGTGTGGAGCTCCAGGAGATGGTGTGTGAGTCCTGCATGAACAATGCTCCTTTCCTGTGGACCTACGCTACCCATCTGGCAGGTACTCATAGATCCTATAATTCACAGTGATTCTTTATGTAATTCTATGGGTACTCTCTCCTTACCTTCAGTTTACTGGCATGCTCCAATTGTCAACAAATTCAGAAAGAAAACACAAACTTCAGGATAGGAGACATCCTTTAGGCCTACTCTTGAGTTCTTTTGAGAGATTACATTGTGTTTTGAGTGTTTCGTTTATGCTTCTATGTGAATTTACAGGTAATTGCCAAAATAAAGGAAACGTCAACATAAAGTGTCTTAATAGAACAGCTTCAATGTGCCTTGGCATAGATTCTACAAGTGTCTGGAACGCTATTGGAGGGATGCGACACCATTCTTCCACTAGAAATTCCATCATTTGGTGTTTTGTTGAGGGTGTTGGAAAACCCCAAATAAGTGTTCAATTGGATTGACACCTGGTGACTGAGACACACACACGTTTAAAACCCCCATGCTCCTTTAAGACCCCTCTTTCAAAGTCACTGAGATCTCTTCTAGCCTTGTTAGCCAAAATAATGGGCAACTGGAAATGTTTATACATTACCCTGAGCATGATGGGATGTTAATTGCTTAATTAACTCAGGAACCACACCTGTGTGGAAGCACCTGCTTTCAATATACTTTGTATCCCTCATTGCCTCAAGCGTTTCCTTTATTTTGGCAGTTACATGTACAATAATAATGAAACCTGCAGTAACTAGTGAACAAGAGGCTATGGTCTGCGGTAGAGCAGTTTACTTCAATGAGTGAATAACAAAAATGCTAAAGTACCGTTAGCTATTGAGGTCAAAGTGTGCACTATTTCATTCCCCCTTAAGGATTTTTAAGGTCCAATTCAGCCGTTTTGATCTCAATATCAAATAATTTCTGGGTAACAATTAAGTACCTCATTGTGATTGTTTTCAATTAAAATTGTCACAAAGAAACAAAAGAGCTTCTTAGCGAAGAGCAATTTCTCAAGCAAGAATTTTGCTAGGACTGTCTGGGAGTGGTCTGAGTGGAAATGGGAAAACTGAAAACTAGCTGTTATTGGCAGGGAGGTTTCAGACTCTTTCTCATTGGTCTATTAACTCATTAATCACGACACAGGCCAAAACTCCATCCCACCAAACCAGGCTGAAATTTCAGGCGGCCTTTTCAAAGAGCTCTTACACTAAAAGGGCACTATCATCATTTTCACAATTTCACAGTATTATTCCAACCTCAGTGTGGAAATATATATAAAATACAGGAAAACCACGTTTTTGACTGCAGTGGGCATTAGATTGGATTGGTTAATACAGTGCCCGATTTCAGCAGCTGGTAATTACTGATTAATATGTTTACATTACTTTTATTCATTTCCCACCATTTTATAAGTCAGAATAAAACAAACTAGACAATCAGAGGCTCTATCCAGGGTTCTGATTAGAGGGAGTACAGCTACGACCGGACGTGATTTTTCGTAGCAGGTTAGGATAATTAACTTGGCAGGTTAGGAGACTTAGGTTAAGGTTAGGAAAAGGGTTAGGGTTAGCTAAAATGCTCTCCTAACCTGCTACGAAAAGTGACTTCCGGCCGTAGCTGTACTCCCTTACCTGTTTTCCACGTCACATCAAAGGGGCGGCCTTAGAAAAGCTCCTCTGCTGGTAGACTCGATCACGATACAGACATGACAAAAAACAACGATGGATTTCTATCGAACAGGCGGCTCTAAATATATAGCTATAGTAAAACAGTGCAAAGAGCCTGTCAGCTCTTAAGTGGCTCCATTTTGTTTTGTATTTCTCCACCAGTGCCTGCTGCGACCAAAGCAAGCCCCTGCAAAGCAGAAGGGGAGGTGACGAACGAAGAGGGGGACCGTGAGGAGGGAAAGAATACAACAGCGGAGGCCTCCACGAGCCTCAATAACCAGGGTGAAGAGAAGGTACTCCACCTCTCTCGATACAAATCTTCATATACACTCAATGTTACGAGGACAATGAAGAGCATTTTATTTATTGCAGTACATTGAATATCATGAATGAACCTGTAGATGGGTATCTTGTTTTGAAAGTATCACTGAGAAAGGGATATTATGACCAGATAAAACAGATGGATGGAAATATATTATGTAGAAAAGTTTTCCAATGCGGCTTCATGCTTTTTAAGTACACACGTTTCAGAAGTCAAGTTTCTGCTTTGATCATTATTGACAGCATTTCATACATGCAGAGTAGTGAAAGGGACTGTCGGTATTAACCACCAGGTGGCGTCAGTCCTCTAACAGTCAGCATGAGATAAGCGCACAGAACCAGGCTGTTAGTTTTCTGTGGGTATTTAGGGGATAAATGGCCCGTACCATGCGCAGATTCTCCGGTCTGTGGGGAGCAGCCCCAAGGCTTTGCGGCGCCCGCATATCATCAACAAGAACGATTTCATTAGTCAGCCTCTGAGGCGAGCTTTAAATTGAAGACAGCCTTATTTGACAGCAAATATGGAAGCCCACGATTTGCCCCCTCATGCTGGGGCCCGGTGAGGTCGCACATTTGCGTGCACTGAAGACAGAAGTCACTCTAATGCAACTGTTTTTTGGTGTATCCTCCTAATGTTGGTTTTGGTTTTATGGGAGTGGTCTGTCTACTGGCGAGGTAGTGCAAGGTAATGGGCCTTGATAAGATTCTTAGGAAATATTTCCTTTCTTTCTTCTTTCCTTAGACTTAACTGATCATACAGGGCGGGATAAGTTAAAGCAAGGTGTCCACTTTCTACTCTCAACCTTTCAACCTCTTCATTAATGTCTCACCTTTTGTAATCATATTGAGGATGGAAAGATGCATCTTTTGAGTGTTCAAACAGAGGACATTGTGTGACATCTGTCCTACTCGCAGGTAAAATCCAATGGGGTGCCAGGCTGCAAAAGGAGGCACCAGGAGATGGAGGGAGGCTCGCCCTCCAAAGCCCCCTCCGATTGCAGGTTCAAGGAGCTGAGGGGCACAGGTACAGAGAGAGCAGAGTTTGGAGCTGTATTCTGGCCCTCAGCCTGGAGAACCAAACTCTGTTCCTGTGTCAGCTGCAAGGTATGTCTTCACCACTTATCACATCAACCAGGCTGCTACTCTGTTCTCTGCTTCAGCTGATTTAGAAGCAAGTCAAACATCCACAATCTGGGGTGTATTCACTGGGAACCAAACTGAAGCAAACGGGCTGAAAGTGGGAGGGACTAACCTACATTTGTCCAATAAGAAACGCTGGTTTTCGTTGTAAAACATTTTCAGTGCAAAATGTTTTGCTACAGTGTGCACTAATGAATACACCTGTTTTATTGTAGAACAGGTAAATAAATGCATGTTGTTTAGGCCTTTCAGTTTGGTGTGTATGTACGAGCAGTATCTTGCAAAACAAGTCAAAGGCATAATACACACCAATATAAAAAAAAAATGATCACAGAATTATTACTGCATATTTATGTCGTTGAGTAGGCCTATATCATTCGTAGAATTACCATTGACAATGGGAAAAGTCCTGCTCACCCGTTTCCTCCCCCCAGCAGAAATCCTACGCCGAAGCTGGTATGTCCTTTCTCCAGGATGAGTCAGACACGGTCTTAGCCTACGAGAACAAAGGCAAGACCACCGAACAGGAGCAGGCGGGGGCCGCCGAGGGTCGCGACCCCCTGATGTCTGCCCTTAATACCCTGGGCCGGGTTCAGCAGCTGGAGATAATCCACGGTACGAGGTGGTGGTGGGGAGGTTAAAGAAGAGACTGTACCAGTTCTCTCCCTATCCCTTTGATGTTTGCAGGTCTGAAGGTTCTGGGCAGGTATGTGAAGTAGAGGAGTTTCCACCATTATTGCTTACACCCTACAGACCTGCAACCATCAAAGCATTAGGGATAGGGAGAGAATTGGGACCATCTGACAGGGAGAGAGTGAGTGAAGGAAAGAGGTGAGGCAGGTGTCGTTAGTCATTCCCTCGGCTGTATTGATTGAAATACAGATTGAATTTATTTTGTGTGGAGACGACTATCGGTGCTGCAATCAGAAAAGACAGCTGCTTTAAAACATTTTTATTTTCCTGGTTCTCAGGGTACAATGACATGAAGACTGAGCTGAAGGATTTCCTGCAGAGATTTGCTGCAGAAGGAAAGGTAGGTAAAACCTGCAAATGTATCAGCACACACACTATTTAGTTGAATGAGCAATCATATCAGCAGTGTCATCATATTTTGGTCCTCAGTTGATGTTCACTATCCCAGTGTCCCAAACCAACCTTCAATAAAGAATAGGACTATAATGATAATATTGATGAGGATTGTTTTTCTCTCTATTCACATTGTGGTCCCTGAATCTGGAATGCCGCCTCCTGGCGGTCCTGTTCTTGGTGTGTGACCATGAGATCAAACTTTATTTAAAGTAACTGTCCAATAAATCTAATTCGGTCAAAATCATACTCCTAACATGACCTTGACTCCCATATTTTCTTATGTTTGTAGGCAAAGTCGCTACACCCAATAAAAATGTGTGCCCAATTCCCCCCCCCCCCCCCCAGGTGGTGACTCCCGAGGACATCCGACAGTTCTTCGAACAGCAGCAGAACCGCAAGAGACGACGGGCCAATGCGGGCCAGTACTACTGCAGCTGAGCAGTCCATCCGGACCACAACTCCCCGTCTCCCCTCTCCACATTTCTCCAACACCTGTCAGTATAGTTGTATTCCTTTTCTTCTTCCCACTGAATGTCATTGCCTTGCGTCCAATATCTTCTAGTCCAAATCCTCAGACGTTATTGTTTGAACTTTGTATGAGCTTTTGTGTTATCTTGTTCTGGGCAGTATGCTTTGTTGTACTGTACTCGGGGCTCTGCAGTGTGATTTGTCTATTGAGGCTAAGCAGGTTAATGAACTGGCATTTGATTGATGTGGATGACACTGGTTATTTTTTTCTAGAGGGAATTGTTAGTCTATCATAGCTCTCCCTCAAGTGTTCCAGACAAAACAGACTCCAGTTTATGGTGACCCCTTGACCTTTTCATTTACCTTTTTATTTGAAGATAAACTTCAATGGATTTGCTCTTAAAGCTCATTCAAATGGAATGCATTATCTATTGCTGTGCTGCAAATCAGAACTGGTTAAGCTGGTCAAAACAAAGGCATTGTTTTGTCTAGTCGTTCATCGTTCCTGCAACATGCTTTCTTTCAACTCATTCCTTTGACAATGTATCATTTTGTATTTGTCCTTAGTGGCATCACAGCTGTTTGTAGATCGCATGATTGCAGAACCTTGGCCCATTAGTATGGTTTGTATTTTAAAGGACCACGTTTAAATGTTACCATTGGTTTCCCTGCTCCTTTTTAATGTTCACTCTAAGAAATAAAGCTATGAATAATGTAAATTGTTTTAGCGTTGTTACTTACAGCAGTTCCACCTGGGAGCCATCGACCCATCCATTAAATGGAAGTTGTTGTTGTTTTGTTGCTAGCTTTAATACCCCACATGCTGATTTGACATCTGGCAAACCATTAATAAGGGGATATTTTAATCACACAAGCAATGAGTTAAGCGAATCGCGCAGATGGTAATAAATCTCTTCCTTGTGAGATCCAAAATGATAATGTACCCATCCATTTGAATGTGTTGCTAACATTAGCCGACCCATACTGACTGAAACAATGATTGACAAGTCATCATGTAGTGGTCCTTGTCTAGCCTCATTAGACTATCCTGATCTTGTGAGTTTACGTTCGGTTTCGTTACACGGTATGATGAGCGCAGTGTTTTGGATGGTGGATCAGGCTAGTCCTTCTCCTTGTAGACTTCAGTAAATGCAGAAAATGGACTTCTAATACTGACATTTGATTTGTTGGATTTTTGAAGATGCTACTGACTCAGTTAACCTAAGACAACCCTGTGCAGAAGCATTCAAGTAACCATTAAAAACAGATACAGTATCGTATCACTGACCTTTTTTCCTCACTGCAAAATAAAGAATCCCAAGCCATTTGATAATTTTTATCAAAGCTGTTTATTTTGAAGATGTCAGTCACCTAAATTGCAGATTTGAGTTCACCACTGTTACAATCCCAACTGAGAAGAATAGAAAAATAGACTTTCCACAATTCCTTAAGTCTACGAGAAAGCTTTTTGTCCTCGTGATATATACAACAAATACTTGTGACATTTGTTTTATATATATAGAAAAATGTATATATACAACAAAACAACATTTCAGAGACCGTTCAAAAGTACCTAAAATCAAAAAATACTCTTTGAAACCACTATGTATATGAAGCATTGGCTACACTATTACAAAGAGACTGGTTGAGTGGGCTGGTAGAAAAGGCTTGCATAGGACGAAGATAAGGATGCCCAGCCACTGGCAGGGAAGGCACTCTTTCGTCTCCATACAAGAGGGAGGGAGGGAGGGATGGGGAGCTAAAGAGGGAGGGAGGGAGGGATGGGGAGCTAAAGGAGGAGGGAGGGATGGGGAGCTAAAGGAGGATCTGGAGGAAACGACAGAACAGTCTTAAATGAAGAAAACCCCCGTTGCCGCTGATACTGGATGTCCTACTGCAAACCAGAAAGCAGGAAATGGGTTATTATATCTAGCCTGGTGGTCCAGATCTGTTTGTGCTTTAGCGAAGTACGTGTTCATTCGCTGACATGCCAAACATGTACATACGGCTTGACAACGATAGAAGAGTTGGCTACAGCACATAGAATGGGATCAGCCTGTTACATACCCACCCCCCAACCTGGTCCTTGTGAAAACCTAGAGAAAGTGTGAGTGCATCTCTAAATACAGTATCTTACATGATCAAGTAATTAAGGGTCTATTAAAGTTAACTCGTAATGCAAAGGTACATACCGTAGTACTTTTTTGAGACAATAGCTAGGTTTACATCTAAATGATGACAGATTTCCATACAAATATTCTAAAATATGCATAAAGAAAATATGCACGTTTCCACCAAACTGACTTGTTGATAAAAAACAGTTCGTGATGACAGTGCACACAAAATGTAATTTTCCGCTTAAAATTCATGTACCGAATAAAAATCTACAATTCGATGGGTTTCCATTGTATTTTCAACTCTACCGATAGTTTTGTCACAAAAAATTTTGCGTTAAATAGCAAATGCGCCTACTCTGGTCTTGGCGCATGCGCTCTAGCCAACAGCTCGCAGATAAATTGCGGGTTGGCTGTGGGGGTAGGTTAGTCTAAATGAGATTCTTATGGATTAAAAATAAATAAATTGTCAAACGGCAGTCAAGCATCATGTCACCAGAATAAAACCCTAGATATTTATTGGAAAGGAGCATCAAGCTCATCACCGTGCACTTTGACCACCCTATGAAGTTCATCATAATCTATTTTAACTGTAGCCGAATAAACTGCATGCTTCCCGAGTCGTAGTGGGAGGACCACACTTATCACCGCGTGACTCCAAGTTTACTTCGATATGATGGTTATTACATCAATATTTGCGCATAAAGGCGTTTCCACCGCCATTGCTTGCATAATTAATTGTACAGACACAAAAAGATCCCACCATGTCCGCGTTCCATCACAGCTGTCATGATTTTAAAAAAATACGGTATGACTTTACTCGGAAACGTGGTTAGTGAAGGGAAATGTGTCACTCACCAAACTCTAACTACCAAAGAGGACAATCAACTGAACATCTCAATTCTACCTACAGGGGTGCTACTCATCAGTGAATACAAACATACAATACTGTTTTAAGATATAATTTTAGTGCAATAGTGAGGCCCTCTGTACAAGTTGCTGTCAATGTCTTCTATCATTCTGAATCAAATGAGTGTGTATGCATCATGATATGGGTTCTCTAAAGGGTTAATAGTCTGCAGGTTACCATCTTTCATCTTTATTGCAACAGTCATGTTTGTCCAACCATTGTGGTAAAACACACATATACAACAATACAATGGAATTAGTAATCTAGCCTAACCCATGAAACGCGAAATAACGTACACACTGCAGGATTGGTAATGCTCGTCTACTCACTCTGTCCAAAGCCAGGAGTCACGCCCTCATCCTCAGTACAGATGAGACACAGTTCAGAGCAGACCAGGGGTCATCTCTACACTTCAAAGAGACCTCTGCATTTGCCATTAAAATAGATGAGCTCATGCCCTGAATGACCAACAAAATCAATTCATACCTGTGTCAGCAAAAATGTGCTCACACTAGCATTTGGAGAGAAAACAGCTCATACCACCTGTATTTGCCAAACTGCCATAAGCTCATAACTGTATTAGCATAGCAATTAGCTCATACATGTGCAGTATTAGTAAAGTAAACAGGTAACTATTTTGGCTAGGAAATGAGTTCATAAGTCCAAATACACAACGAATATAGCTCAAACCTAGATTTGCCAGTTTGCGGAAAGCTGCATCAGTAGCTACAATTAGCAAATACTTGCATTTCAAAACAAACTAGCTTATATCAAAAACGACAACAGACCCGAATGACTAAGCCAAACCGATTTTGTTTAACTGTTATTCGATTCAAGAGACCTCCGGCTGCAGTCCTCAGGGGCTGCAGAATCCGATTCCAACATGCCTGGTTGGTTATCACTTAATCACACAGGGTCTCAGGGTGAAGACCTTCCCTTTAAGGTTAAAACAAGCCCACAAGAAAAGTGGCCCAATAGAGCACGGCCTGGCATTCCCTTAGTGCTGCTTGGAGGGGGGCAACGTGTTTATTAGATCTAAAGCCCCTATCTCTACATTACTGCCGGGGGAGCCGTTCGGTAATGGGAAAAGCGTGAGATAACATCTCATGGTTCTCATATCTTTCATATTTTTGTCCCACTCCCATGGCTCTCCCATCTCCTCTTCTCCCTCTCCGCCTCTCCCTCCATCTTCTGTAGGTCAGGTCTGGATGACCTTAGCGGTCTGCAGGGAGGAAGGGGAGGCTCTGGCCTCGGGGGCTGCAGTACGGGGTGGCCGAGTGACTATTTTAGGTCTCCGGTAGCTCATGCTCCAGTGAGTAGACCCACGGCACTCCCCGCCCCCCCACTTGGGGTCGTGACTCAGGGGCGGCACACGCCTTCGGGGGAGTGGGGGTACTCTGGGCATTGAGTGAGGGTGCTGAGAGGGGTAGCTCTCTTCTAAGCTCACTTCTGCAGCAGTCACAGTGACAGGCCCAGTGTTTGCAAAGGGCTGCGCTGACCCACTCAGTTTTTCTCTCCCCTCCTTAGAAACAATATGCACAACACTGACGGTCTCATATTGCAGAGTAGTCTGGTCTTTGAAAAAATAAACTGTTATCCATACTAAAACTCCAACCCAGCACCCAAAAATATAAATGATTCAAACTACCCAAGAGTGGCACCATCATCTGTCCATGATAAAGGATCGCATGCCACCAACCTCCCACTCGAGACAGCCTTCCTCTTCCAATGACAACTGCACCTCTCTTTCACAACCATATTAGCTAAAGTACTGTCCACTATGTCCTTAGTAAGAGAAAAAGAGAGAGAGAGCCCACTATGGACAATGGTTTAGTTGTTGTTGAGCTCATCCGCGGAGAACAGAGCATGAACAACACACACCCACCCACCGACACGTGTGAACACACACACCACCCCTTCTAGCCTCGAGCAGCGGCAGCAGTGAGCACTCACCCACGGGAGGTCGAAAAGATTAGCAGAAAAGCCAAGGAAAACAATCTTCTGCAGGTTATGATCTTAGCAAAACAGCCACAGAAACATCAAGATATATCTAAGATATTAGCACTACTGTACTGTTCCAATAATTTGCATTCCAGTATATGTGTTCCAGAGGTCCAAATGAGGGAGTGCTTGGCGTAAAATGAGAGTGATTAAGGTTAAAGTACTGTGGAGTGTCTGTAGCAAGTGAAGAAGTCTGCGCAGAGACATAGCCTGGTTACAAGTCTGTTTCTGCTCTCTTACCAGCTCCTTATGGAATTGTCATGCCAAACATTTAGCTTGACAATGGAGTAGGCAAGAGCACAAACAGATCTGGGACCAGGCTAAAACAAGAACAGAAAGGGACCCAAGTTTGAATTGAGGAATTGCACCATCAAATGCCAATGAGCCCAGAAGGGGGTGCAGGAGAGAGCAATGGAAAAGTAAACAGAGCCGTTAGAGGGATAACTAATATCAGACGACGGATGCTACTTTTGACCAAATTGACACGAGCCGACAACCAAATGTAGGTTCTGAGCATGCCAAGATTGTTTTTCTGACAGTGGCAATCAAATTATAATGTGCCGTAGCCAATAATACTCCAATCTGCCAACTACAACTAGTTCAAATTGATACTCATCTCCTACTCATCTCTTGGTGATATGCATTAGTCTTCAAGTCGCCGCCATCGAAAGCGAGGGGAGACAAAAAGCCTGCAAACATACTTAGCCAACCTTATCCCAACCTGCTTCACAATCAGACCTCATTCATGAATTGATAGAAAGAGTATTCCATGTCCCACCATTCATACATGCATGCATCAAAACCAACTGGAGGAAATCATCCAACTTCTGAAACTGAATAGGTAAACACCTTAAACAATAACTATAGTCTGTCTCCTTGCAGTTGACCAACCGGGTTCAAAATAACAATTTTAAAAAATCACCAACAAGTAGGGATTTCTATGCTTCTCCAGTACCTTCTGCCTTGAGAATAATCGCACGCTGAAAGGGCATACAGAAATTAGTAATTTCGACTGCCTAGATAAAGGAAGGTATTCATGTGACAAGGTTTGCTGTGAGAGAAACATAATTTGCTAACCATCAGAGGTGAGGCTCTGCCTCACAGACAAACATGAGGCATCAGCATTATACAGAGAGCCAGGTCATGTTCATTAGGGCATGCAACGGAAAACGTTATAAAACATTTTGTGATGGAAAACTGAAATAAGGATTTCTTATAAGTCTAGGTAGTCCCCCCCTCTGTTTAGGTCCGTTTTCTTCTCGGACACACAAGTCATGTCCTGAGGGGGAAAAAGTGGCATATTGAGGTACACAGTGAACTATAGAGAATGTGTGAATGGTAGTATAGTATGGGCACAATAAAGCAATTTCATTTCTCCATGTGCGAGTTGATGCTAACAGAAGGAAGATAATTACAGTGAACCCAAGTCAATGTAATGTTCTGACAATGCGCCGCAACAGGGACTATCGAAAAATGGGATGGAAAATGTGTTGAGATTCTGAATTGAAAGGGAGGACCCGTGAGTGAGTGTGTTTTAATTGAAGCTATGCTGGTTTCGTGAGTAAGTCTTTGCCCCCAGTGGACAAGACATAAAAAATTCCTCAAGAGGAACCATTTAACCAACCGCACCCCCCCCCCTTTAATTCTCCTTCCACAAACCTCCATTGACATCATCATAATCGTTGGTTGTTGGGTACAGTACGTCAAAGTAAGGATGGTGACCAAAGCAGTCTTGTTCAGATCTCCATGGAGGGAGACAGGGAGTCAATGGATTGAGGAACTGGGCTTTGGTTTGGTTGAAGTTTATCCAAGATGGCCGCCGGCATTGCTGAGCTATTGAAAAGGCAGAGGGGCACAGTCATGGGGCCTGCATCTTGATAAACCCCCACAAATTGCTGTAGGGTTAAGGCAGGGATATTCTACTTCAGTCCTTTATTTGCTGTTGCTATTGTGCTATCCCTCCTTTTTAATTATTGAGATTGAATTTAGACCCCGGAAACCAGGTGTATATGCATGTTCTGGCCAATCGACAGTAATAGATCAATAAAGTGGGAAATGTGGTCTGGAATACTAGCCAGGGTTCACACGACTTACAGTGTCCAGCACTCAGGCTACTGAACATTACAGTACGGTTAAGGTAAAGGGACATCTGCAAAGGGTAAGTGTGGGAGAGGACCAAGAGATAGCGCTGAGCAGTGGCTACCGCTCACAGAAACTTTGGGTATGAAAAGTGAATGGCTTCTAGTCACTTCTAATAAAAGCAGCTATGCAATTATTATTCCTGCCTTGTAGCCACATTGGTAGTGTTATGAAGATTTAATTTGTTTTTTTCTTCTCCTCTTTGTGCTATTGCTCAAATCATAAATTGCTCGTACTGACATGCAGCCCGTGGGTCATAAAGGATTACAAGAGCTATTACTGCAATTCCTCCTTATTCAAAAGGAGGAGCTATTTGTAATGGGTTTGCAACTCATTGCCTGGGCATTTTTCCAATTTATTTCTAAGGAAAGCATACCGGGACAAAAATATAAATATATAACTCTACAGTACCCTCATCCTGATGCAGGAAATGAGTGTAATGGAAATGAAACGATGACTGTGCGTTGTCAAAATCCAAAACACTAGGAAGAAAGGGAAGGATTTATTCACGTTCAATGACCAGTCAAGACTTTCATTTTGAGAATAATAAATGTGATTGGAAGATAAACAGTTGAGCATGGATCCAATCTGGAAGATGGGAAGGGCTAGGACCCATTATGTTAATTCATGAGACTAATGGCTATTTGGACAGATAATTCTCAACCAAACCGAGCCTTTCCTCCTCATCCCCCACCATGGCTCTGTGCTGAAGGCACTGTGACCGCCGCACATCGTTAGTTGGTGCAGCACCTGGGGCTCGCCTGGGGAGGGGGGGGACTACTATGTGTGCTTAGTGCCTTTGCCCTGAACTGAGCATGAGTATGACCACTCCGTCACCGGAGACACTGCCAACCACTAAGCCGTCAACCCCAAATCCCCCTAGAGCAAACCGTCCTTTAGCGCTCTTGCCTTTTCCAGTCTGTCTATATGATTTTAGCTAACCCGAGGCCTCTGACAGTCTTGGTTGCGGAGGGTCAGAGTGCAGACTTCCTGTAAGGGTACTCAGGTTTGTTGGGCGACCTGCGGTCCCTGGCCCCCACCACCTCCTCGGAGTAAGGTTCCGCGTGCCGCGCCTGTCCCAGTCCGCAAGTAAGGTCTGTTTCAGTTCGGGCGCGTCCTCTCGGGTTGTGTGATGCCCCGGCTGCTTGCACTCCTCCTCCGCTCTGTATGGCCAGAGCCAGATCTAGTCTCTGGGGGGGTTGCTCCAGAACATCCAGGCGGAGTGGGGTGCCGACTGGGCCGCGGCAGGGGTTTGGCTGCTGTTCGTCGGGGGAGTACTGTGGAGGGACTGGGCCCCCTCCCGTAGGAACTCGATTGTGACTGTAGAGGTCCGGCCCGGCGAAGGAGGTCACGTGGCGCCCGGGAAACTCATACAAGTCAGGATACTCCGACGCCTGGGCCTCGGGCTTGGGCTCGGCAGCGTGCCTCTTACGTGAGGCGTGCGGACCGTGGCGGCTCAGGCCCAGGTGGCAGTGGGGCACAGCGGGAGGAGCCGTGGAAGGGTGAGGGTGGGGGTCGTGAGGCTCCACCTCCATGGTGACCTCGGGCAGGCGGCGCTCCTTCAGGGTCATGGCCGACACGCCCATGGCAATGTCCGGCATGAACTCGTTGATGACCGGCACCACGTTCTGCAGGAACAAACAAGCAAACCTTAAGACAATAGCAACCAGGCCCCACTTTCCTCTCTTCCCTTTACACATTGTTGCCACCTACATTTCAACACAGCTCAGGACACTCCCCTGGATCAAAATGGCATTCCAACATTCCCACCCAATTCCAGCTCTTTATTCTCACTATCCACGTAGGCCCCGTCATTACCACTATCTCAGGGGAACACTACAGCTCTGAAGTCCTGTAGACCTCTACTTACCCCTTGTTTATCCTGATGCGGAGTGCGTACCCCCCCTCCCTGGGGATTGGTGCAGTCCGGCGGCAGGGGCTTGGCAGCCGGTGGGTAGGCGGGGCTGCCGTGCTTGGAGGAGGAGCTCGCTGTGTGGTGGAGCAGGCTGTGGTTGCAGGGGTAGGAGAAGGAGCGTGACGGCGGCTGGCTGGGGGCACGGCCAGGCCTCCATCCACTGGCTTTGAGCTGGGCATTGTGAGTGGGTGTGGCCGGTGGGTGGTAAGGCGGTGGGGGAGGTGGCAGCGGCGGGTGGAAGCCCGCCATGGCCTCCAGGTCGGTGAACATGCTCTCCACCACTGGGCTGCTGTTGACCCGGCAACGCCCTCCACCACGGCTGCCACCCAACGGCTGGCGCAGCGCTAGGACGGGGCTCTCGTCGCCAAAGCGCTCCTCCGGGAAGAACTTGTGAGGGTTCTGTGAGGGATGGAGCACAGCACACAACAAATTAGTCGAAAATGGTGGAGGAACAGCCATTTTCTTTTGTCATTTAGCAGACGCTCTTATCCAGAGCGACTTACATGAGCAATTAGGGTTAAGTGCCTTGCTCAAGGGCACATCAACAGATTTTTCACCTAGTCGGCTCGGGGATTAGAACCAGCGACCTTTCAGTTACTGGCACAATGCTCTTAACCACTAAGCTACCTGCCGCCCCATTTGAAACCGAGTCATATTCTAACCGTGGGAAGTCAAAAAATCGTTCATTATTTCCTCTGCTCTCAGTTCAACATTTGAGTTAACTTTGGCCCAGTCACCACTCAATGGAAAGCTAAATAAAATGTAATGGGGGGGACAAAATGCCTGGTGTGCTCCAGCCAGAATTCTTGAGACGTTTGTCATTAAAGTGGCACGCTGGTGACAGAGGCTTTCAGCGCATTAAAGGGAAAACACAGCCATACTAAAAGCAACACTGCATGAAAACAATCTCTTCACCGTATCCTTTAGGTTGTTAACCGATCCATTACTGCCTAGACATTAGATATTGATATATATATTTCTTACATATTGTTTGACATACACTGAGTGTACAAAACATTAGAACACCTGCTCTTTCCATGAAAGACTGATCAGGTGAAAGCTATGATCCCTTATTGATGTCCATTGTTAAGTCGACTTCAATCAATGTGGATGAAGGGGAGGAGACAGGTTAAAGAAGGATTTTTATAGCCTTGAGACAATTGAGACATGGATTGTGTATGTGTGCCATTCAGAGGGTGAATGGGCAAGACAAAATATTTAAGTGCCTTTGAACGGGGTATAGTAGTAGTAGGTGCCAGGCGCACCGGTTTGAGTGTGTCAAGAACTGCAACGCTGCTGGGTTTTTCACTCTCTAGTTTCCCATGTGTATCAAGAATGGTCCACCACCCAAAGGACATCCAGCCAACTTGACACAACTGTGGAAGCTTTGGAGTCAACATGGGCCAGCATCCCTGTGGAAGGCTTTCGACACCTTGTAGAGTCCATGCCCATGTTGCTCCTGAGTGGCGCAGTGGTCTAAGGCACTGCATCGCAGTGCTAACTGTGCCACTAGAGATCCTGGTTCGAATCCAGGCTCTGTCGCAGCCGGCCGCGACCGGGAGACTCATGGGCGGCGCACAATCGGCCCAGCGTCGTCCAGGGTAGGGGAGGGAATGGCCGGCAGGGATGTAGCTCAGTTGATAGAGCAATGGCGTTTGCAACGCCAGGGTTGTGGGTTCAATTCCCACGGGGGGCCAGTATAAAAAAAAAAATGTATTCACTAACTGTAAGTCGCTCTGGATAAGAGTGTCTGCTAAATGACTTAAATGTAAATGTAAATGTAATGCCCCTACGAATTGAGGCTGTTCTGGGGGGGAGGTGGGGGGGTGCAACTCAATATTAGGAAGGTGTTCCTAATGTTTAGTATACTCACTTTTTGGACTGTTCAATCAATCCTATTTCTATAAATTCTAGTTCAATGCTTTCAAAGAGGGTGATCATTTATGTCAGTAAAACCATGTATAAGTCGGATATTGAAGCATTAGTAATATGCTTAGAATATACCACAATATACCCAAAAGGGAGTCGGGTACAAAGCATCTCTTTTTGTGGATGGCCACAGGCACTTCTGTAGACGGATGAAGTAGTTGAGAATCCTTTTGCTATCATATCATTTTCACACTATGGGCGAAATATTGCACGAGGACATGGCATTGAGCAAAATAACCATAATATTTAAAATAGATGGCAGTAGGCACATTATCCTATGCGAGCTCCAAATACGGCAACTGACGATTGATCACGTGCATTACATTTTAGTCATTTAGCAGACGCTCTTATCCAGAGCAACTTACATTTAGTGAGTGCATACATTTTATATATTTTTTTCATACTGGCCCCCCGTGGGAAACGAACCCACAACCCTGGCGTTGCAAACGCCATGCTCTACCAACTGAGCTGCATCCCTGCCGGCCATTCCCTCCCCTACCCTGGACGACGCTGGGCCAATTGTGCACCGCCCCATGGGTCTCCCGGTCGCGGCCGGCTACGACAGAGACTGGATTCGAACCAGGATCTCTAGTGGCACAGCTAGCACTGCAATGCAGTGCCTTAGACCACTGCGCCACTCGGGAGTACAAATCACCTGCATCATGCAGATTACAAAATTCGGGTGAAATAATATTTGCCTTACAACACATATCTTTGAGGAAAAGTAAAACACTTAATTATGCAGAAGATTATAATTTTTATACACTGATCTGTGCTCTTTTGTGCCACCCTACAGCTTTACAAAGTTCAACAAAACATAAAAAAATCGAATTAAAAAAAAGATTGATTGGCATCTCACCTGCAATAGCTCTGCGGCGGCGTCCGGCAGGCCGAACTCGCGGAGCACGCGGATCTGCAGCTCATAGCTCACCGTGGCACCCTCGCCGCAGTTTAGGGCGTACGCCCGCTGTACCTGGTCCGTGTGACGCAGGTCCTGCAGCCTCCGGATCATCTCCTTCACCACCGCCAGCCTGGGAACTGAGAGAAAGAGAGTGGCATAACTGAGTGGCCTGGTTGGTCTAGCAGTAATGCCACTGCCTCCTGCACATGTCTACAGTGTTGGCATAGGTTCAAATCTTTATAGAAATAAAAACATAAATAACAAAATTAGTCTTTTACATGCTGGGGACCACCCTGCAACATAAAATCATGACATAATGGTAAATATTGCGTGTATTGTGTGTGCAGGATCATATGTAGCCTTTTCAAATGGTCCCTGAGGGAATTTATTTTCTTCTTTATTGGCCCATCCAGTCTTCGGAGGACAAGTTACATTCTACTCATTTTACATACATGGCACTTTTTTTTACACAGTAGTTCCGTTACACAGCAAATATATAGTTATTTGATATACACGACATCTGGATAGATAGTACTTAAAACATATCCAATATATATTATATATAGTGTTTTCAGTCATAACTATTACAGATCATGAGCTTTTAATCCAACCCCTCAGCTACTCTCAGCCCATCCCACTTATCTCCGTAAACCACCCCCTTATGATTTCCAAGTGCCATATATTTTTCAAATGTACTGTGATGTTTCACATAAATTCTGAACCTTTCTTATCACGTAGTATCTACAGATTGTAAGTTCAAGATCAATATTTTTACCAAGAGTATTATTATATTGTTGATTGATTGACTATGGCTTTCCAAATCTCCCAACAGTGCTATTTGTAGGGTTAGCCATTCCTGAGGGAATTAGTAACGTTGTTATTGAACTGGATGGGGGTGAGAGAGAAAGTCAGTAGGGAGAACGAGTAGGAGAGGAGAAAGCAGGGCCAATGGTGGAGGGCCAAGGGGAGCACACTAAAAAGAAAGGTAGGGCAGACAAAAGAAAAGCAGATAGATAAAGGGATGGAGGCGGGAAAGAGTGTGTCATCTCTCTATGGTATGAGAGAAAACTGTAGGAGAAAAAGAGAGGGCGGGATGATGAGAGGGATGGAGAGCGTGTGGGAGACCGAAAGAGAGAAAGGGTCATCTCGCAGGTCGCCCCATCTCTGCCAATAATGCTAATAACTACTGTTCGTCTGAGATAATAGAATATAGAATATAACCATGAATTAAACAGCACAGTGCTTATAATAAAATGCTCTATTGGCTCTGGTCAAAATTAGTGCACTATTAAAAGGGAATAGGGTGCCATTTAGGACACAGCCAAGAGCAAAGGTTTGCCTTTCCAAACCCATCAAATCATAAAATCAAGAGCTAACTGAGAACTTGAGGCCCTGTCAGGGCAGTTTGGTCGAGGTTAACAATGTATGCAATGCATAGCCACCTCTTCGTTGGGTACTGAGTGGATCGGCATTGAGATAAGAAAACAAAGAGGTTCATCACTTGTCGGAAGGATGAGGATAGATGGAGGAGGGGAAGTCTCTCTCTTTTCTTGTATGGAAGAGGAATAGCCATAACAGAGTCCTAACTTATTGTTTGCCTACGGGTAGAAGTTGCGCCTTAAGCACAGGTTCAGCTTCCGTTCATCATTCACAAACCTACACTGAAACGTTACGGAATAAAACTCAGAAACAGACTTTAGATCAGTACTTAAGGGTCAACATTGACCTGCACCACATTTTCATGAGATCTCCTACATCCTTCTGTGGACCATTGGAGTTTGTAGGAAGACTGCAAATTGGTAGGGGCGGGTTTATTCAGTGAAGTTATGTTTGTCATAGCCGCTTGCTCAACACCATTTCTTCCTTGTTACAATTGCATTTGTATCTTTTCAGGAAGAACTGACTGTAAGACACTCTAGATAAGAGCTACAAAATGACAAAAAATCTACAGCATCGTTTTGACCATTTTCATTTTGGAAAGCTGGAAGAAAGCTAGCTTTGCTGCTCCACCCACCTGGTATCTCATTGGCCACCACTGAGGGTGGGGTCGTCTGGCTGCCACCGATTTGCTGGTGGTTGATCATGTGACAGCACTGTGGCACAGCATTGTTCACCATGTAAAGGGTGTCGGGCACGTTGGACATGCGGACCATGCGCAGCCGCACCAGGTCCGTCTGCTCCACCATTATCTCATCTAGCACAGACTGACAAACAGCACAACAACAGGGGGGTTAGAGTGTGTGTGTGAGGGTGAGTGAGTGAGTGAGTGAGTGAGAGAGAAACAAAGGGTTGGGGTCAATTCAGTTTTCAATTCAGTCAATTCCGAAGGTGAATTGTAATGAATCCTCATAGCCAATAATGGACAATAGCATGGGTAATTTCAATTCACCCCTTGTATCTTAGATGTGATGATGCCCACCATTGGTAATGTTGTGATGTACAAACAGTGTGTGTGTGTGTGTGTGTGTGTGCACGTAGTGGTTCTGTTGTGTGGTGTTGTCCCAACCTTGGCCTCCTCCACGTAGGGCGAGAAGAGGCGGGGTCGCACGTAGATGCCGGCACTCTTTTGCCTCAGCCAAGAGTTGGCCTTTCCACCCTCCGCCGTTGGCAGCATGTCTGAGGGAGGGGTGCTGATCAGACCCCTCTTCATCTGGGAGGGGGTGGAGTGGGAAGGGAAAGGAAAGGAGAGAGAAGAGAAGAGAGCGAAAAAAGAGTGAGAGAGGAGAGGCAGAAAGAGAGAGGAGGTGTGGGGAAACGAGGGAGAGTGAGAAGGGAAAGAGAGCAGGAAAGTGAGAAGGGAAAGAGAGCAGGAAAGTGTAAAGGAGAGGGGCATGTTAAATGGAGGAATGCAACATACACTACAGCCAGACTGATCCTGCTGGCTTCACAGACCGAAAACAGATTGGCAACAAAAATACTGCAGCAAGACACTTACAGTATATAGTGCATAACATTTGATCTACGAAACCAAAAGGACTACAACGAAAACGTTGGTAAAAAAAACAAATTCCCCACAGATTCCGTCTGCCCCTGCATATGAAGGATGACTATGTTTGCCTGGGAAAACATGATTTATTTATTTATTAACCCGTATTTTACCAGGTACGTTGATTGAGAACACATTGACTGTGTCCCAAATGGCACCCTCTTCCCTATATAGTGACCAGAGCCCTATGGGGCCATTCTCTTTACAGCAACGACCTGGGGAAGAGTTGCAGGGAGAATTAAGGGAATGAATGAACCAGCTGAAAGCTGGGGATGATTAGGTGGCCAGGAGAGTATGCCAGATTAGGAATTAAGCCAGGACACCCCAACTCTTGCGATAAGTGCCATGGGATGACCACAGAGAATCAAGACATTACACCATGTCGGAGAGGACCTCGCTGTTGGGGGGAGGCAGTATGTGTTCGGTGCGGACACACACACACTCTCTTTCACACACACACACTCACTGTGTCGTAGAGGACCTCGCTGTGGGGGGGCAGTATGTGTTCGGTGCGGACACACACACACACTCTCTTTCACACACACACACTCACTGTGTCGTAGAGGACCTCGCTGTGGGGGGGCAGTATGTGTTCGGTGCGGACACACACACACACACACACACTCACTGTGTCGTAGAGGACCTCGCTGTGGGGGGGCAGTATGTGTTCGGTGCGGACACACACACACACACTCACTGTGTCGTAGAGGACCTCGCTGTGGGGGGGCAGTATGTGTTCGGTGCGGACACACACACACACACTCACTGTGTCGTAGAGGACCTCGCTGTGGGGGGGCAGTATGTGTTCGGTGCGGACACACACACACACACACTCACTGTGTCGTAGAGGACCTCGCTGTGGGGGGGCAGTATGTGTTCGGTGCGGACACACACACACACACTCACTGTGTCGTAGAGGACCTCGCTGTGGGGGGGCAGTATGTGTTCGGTGCGGACACACACACACACACTCACTGTGTCGTAGAGGACCTCGCTGTGGGGGGGCAGTATATGTTCGGTGCGGACGAAGGGCAGTAGAGGGGACAGGATCTCCTTGAGCTCCTCCAGGTCCAGGTCTCTCCTCTTCACCCCCCGCTTGTTCACGCTGTGGGCCGTGCCACTTAGGAGGTTGGGCTCTGAGGATGGATCACACACACAGTAAGGCACACACGCAATGCAATCGGGAGCTCCCGTTATTTAGAACGTTGCAGTGCATTAGTTCACAGCGCAGCCGTTTTTGCCACAGGAAAATGCCGCCTAATCTATTTGGTCTTACTTGTGGTCAATTTGCTGTGTAAAAACGATTATAATTATGTACCGGCCCTCGGCTAAATCGAGTTGCTTACTCCTGCAGTAAGGTATATATTTTCATACACACACATTCTTCTTCACAAAAAGGTTCACAATCAAAATCTTACTTTTTCTTTTATCTGCACAAGGGATTAATCATACACTCTGAAGAGGGCTCTTAGCCAAAACATGTGTATGATCCATCCCTCTGTACAAACAAAGTATTTTAAGACACTGGAAAATGACATAAGCTCCTTCAAACTACTTTTTGAGTTCGGGCCTGCTGTATTTTTCGTGTATCTGGAGTAACTGGTTTTTACGCGCCAAAAGAACCCCCCCTTTCGGAAAGAGCTATGGTTTTCCAATTTCCATTGAAGAATCTTCCCAACAAAATACCTAGCTGCACCCAAAATAGACTGTTCATCTTGAACGACAAATGAAGGTGTAGAGAAGGAGTGAGCATGGCATCCCTGTTCTCCGATTGGGCCAAACTCTCATCTGACTGTGACTGTGTCCCAAATGGCACCCTATGTAGTACACTACATTTGACCAGGGCCCACAAGGCTCTAGTCAAAAGTAGTGCACTATGTAGAGAGGGAGGAAGGGAGGGAGGAATGGGTATCTCACCTCGGTCAGCCATCCTCTTGATGAGCTGGTGCTCTCCCCACTTGATGAGATACTTGAGGATGTCCTGCTCGCTAGCCTGTGAACCGAGACAATAATTAGAAGCCATGGGAGATGACGCGTGTATTCACATCGTACCATAACGTTTTGCAACGAAAACACACTTTTCTTAGTTCAGGAAGATGACCCACTATAAGACTTGTCTGCTTGAAGTCTCCCTGTAATGTCATGTGTTTTGGATCTGTAGAAAATGAATGAGAGTCAGTCTGCCTCTCGTTGTGGACCAGGAAAGTTACCAGGATGTGAGCTCTCTGTGTTTGTTCTAAATCCTCTTTGGGAATTAAATGATCTGCCCGTGTCTGTTGCTTTGAGTGAAGTGTTTCAGCTTTGATGTGGGTGACAGAGGGCAAACGGTTTGTCTTTGATGCCATGGCTTTGACCTCCAGGCAGATAATTGTCCAAACCATTGCTGTGCGTGGGCATGCACCGTGTGTGCGAGAGTGTGTGCGCATGTTTATTTATGTACTACGAACTTATGCATGTTTTTTTGTAATGTGTGAAAGTGAGAGAATTAAAGTGTAAGCTAGCCTATATGCGTGCATGTCTCTGAAAATGTGTAATGCCTTACTATATGTGCTTTCCCGAGTGCGTCTCTCCGCGTACGCATACCTCTGTGTGTCTGTGTCTTCGTGTATCCTTGAGGATTCTTCTCCTGCATGTGTGTATGTGTTTGAATGTAACACGGAGCCAGGGACACCTGTGGCGGACACTGCTCATCATTGACCGTTTGGCTGGGAATTTGGGGATGTTAGATGCTGGAAGCTCTCCCAGCACCAGTCAAGGCTGCTGCTCCGAGGCCTGGCAGGTCCCTACGCAGCCTGGGGTGTATTCACTAGGAACCAAACGGAACAAAATCGGGAGGGACGTACCCTAATTTGTCCAATAGAAACTCTAATTTTTGTTGAAAAGTGCTTTGTTAAGGTTTGCAACGGTCAGTTGTGCAATAATAAATACACCCCAGCTTAATCTTCTTCACACGAACAGCCTAGTCTTCCAAGGGTGACATGACATTATCCTCTAAACGCCCCCAGGCACTACCTGCAGAGCTTTCTGTAGGCTAGCCTACATCTCAAAACTTCCCTTGTCTGTGAAGGTGGTGATTAAAACTGCAGATTAAAAACAGTGTGGAAATGTGTTGCATTGCGGTTACTTGGCACTCTGCTTGTGTGCGTTTAGAAGAATGAAATGCCGTCCAAGGTCCTCATAAACCAGTCTTCAAACAGTTAGCCTATTTCTATACCACAAAGATCCCTCATAAAACAGCCTTGTCTAACAGCACACAACCACTAACCAGTCCTAATATCATCTATCATCATCAACTCATACAAGCAAATCCCCCCTCATATCCAGTCTATTTCCAAAGAGCTCAAATGCATATCAGTTTCGCAGCAACGAAGCAGAAGCCCGTCAGGTACTCGTTAAGGCCTAAACACCAACAGTATAGTACAGAATGTAATGGTCACCACAGACACAAGCTCAATCATGATACACTGGCACTAATAAGAGATCGAGAGAGGGAGAGGAGAGAAAGGGGGAGGTGGAAGGGAGGAAGCGAGAGTGTTCTGAAGGATCATGCCAATTCCACCAACTCCCTAATTACCCTCTGGGCACACCCCCTCTCCTGCCAAGTCGCCATACCGGTCTCCTCTCTGATGATGACCATTCCACCCCCTTCATCTATAGACCCATTTCCCGGCCTTGTCATGAAAAGTTTGAATCAGAAAGCAGTTTGAATCAGAAAAATATTTGTTTACATGGGAGTGGATACAGTATAATCCGACTTCAAATGCAGCTTGTACAAGTTAACGCGTAATCAAATGGTTATTGTCTACAACAGGGGTGTCAAACGTCCGGCCCGCGGGCCGGATCAGGCCCGCAAACGGGTTTAATCCGGCCCGCGAGATGATAAAAAAAAAAAAAAATAATAATAAATATATATATATTTTTTTTGTAAAGTATAAAAATGCGCTGCAATTTTTCAATAAAATAAACTGCTGTTCCAATTGCGTCCACTGGATGGCGCAATAGCAATTGTGTTAAGCAAGCAAACTGTTTATACCGGGGCAGAGCAAGTAGGTCAAGCACGTGCAGCCAATGAGCTACTTTGTTTTGCCCGCAATATTTATTGCGGCTTCTACTTTTAACATTATGTGCTTTGGCACCCTCATTGCCCCAATATGTCTCTGTCAAAAAAGAGAAAAGTGGACGCAGAGTGCAGAGTGTTCCAAGAAAAATTGTCATCCTATTTATTCACGGAATTGAATGGGAAAGCTGTATGTTTGGTGTGTTCAGAGCATGTTGCAGTGCTGAAAGAATATAACATTCGTCGCCACTATGTGAGTCTTCATGCCGACAAATATGACTACTTTCAAGGACAGCGGAGATGAGAGAAGGTGAATGAACTGTTGGCGGGTCTGAAGAAACAGCAGTCTGTGTTTACTCACAGCCGAGACATCAGTGACGCTGCAGTGAAAGCTAGCTACCTCATTGCTAATGAAATCGCAGTGGCTTCAAAACCATTTAGTGAGGGTGAATTTGTAAAAACATGCATGATGAAGGCAGTGGAGATTGTGTGCCCTGAAAAGCGGCAGGCTTTTGCAAATATCAGCCTGACAAGAAACACAGTTGCAGACAGGATTTCCGATCTTTCAGTGGATTTGGACAGCCAGTTGAAGCAAAAAGTAAAGTCATTTATTGCGTTTTCGGTTGCAATTGATGAAAGCACGGACATTACAGATGTTGCACAACTGGCCATTTTCATCCGCGGAGTTGATGACACATTGACCGTCACCGAGGAGTTCGTGGAGTTGGTGCCGATGACGGATACAACGACAGCAGCTGATATTTTTACCGCACTCGTCGGCGCGCTGGACAGGGTTGGAGTGGACTGGTCCCGCGCTGTCAGCCTGGCTACAGATGGTGCGCCCTCAATGATCGGGAAAAAAGCAGGCGTTGTGACAAAGTTCAGAGAGAAAGTGCAATCTGCAAATGGAGGACGTGATTTTTTGACTTTTCACTGTATTTTGCACCAGGAGGCTTTGTGTTGCAAGTCATTAAAGATGTATAACGTCATGAAGGTGGTCATCCAAACTGTTAATTTCATCCGATCCAGAAGCCTGAATCACCGTCAGTTTGACAGCCTTCTCAGAGAGAAAGACCACATCTATGGCCTGCCATACCACACTGAGGTAAGATGGTTAAGCCGAGGTGCTGTGCTGAGGCGTTTCTTTGATTTACGAGAAGAAATTGAACAGTTCATGGAAGAAAAGGGCAAACCAGTGTTAGAATTTCATTCCGCAGAATGGATGCAGGACCTTGCATTTATGGTGGATGTTACAGAGCACCTGAATAACTTGAACAAACAGCTGCAAGGGCGCAACAAAGTTGTCACGCAGTATTATGACAGCATACGTTCTTTCAAGTTGAAGCTGTCATTGTGGGAGACGCAACTTGCCGGTGGTGATGCAGCTCACTTCCCCTGTCTGAAAAATGTGTGCGCGACCCAACATGTGGCAGACATGAAGCGGTTCAAAGATAAAATAACGGGACTGTTACGGGAGTTTGAGCAACGCTTTCAGATTTATGTTTATATGTTTTTATGTTGATGTGCTATTGTTTTTAATTGATTTTATTTTATTTGTATATTTAACCTATTCTTGACTCTGTGGTTCTTGCACTTGTTTGGGGAACAGGATTTCATTATTTGTATCTACATTTCTGCCTGAGAAATGACACCCTGATATAGTTCTGTGATATACTTCTGTGAATCACTGAGGCATTGTGTGTTTGTGTGTTCTTTGTCCTCAGAACTTTCAAATAACTTGAGGTGTTTTATGATTAATAGTGATGTTGTGCTTTTGGACACTGTCCTCAGGCTCCAGCTTTATGTTTATATGTTTTTATGTTGATGTGCTATTGTTTTTATTTTATTTGTATATTTAACCTATTCTTGACTCTGTGGTTCTTGCACTTGTTTGGGGAACAGGATTTCATTATTTTTATCTACATTTCTGCCTGAGAAATGACACCCTGATATAGTTCTGTGATCTGTGAAACAGTTCTGTTAATCACTGAGGCATTGTGTGTTTGTGTGTTCTTTTTCTTTAGAATTTTCAAATAAACTTGACGTGTTTTATGATTAATAGTGATGTTGTGCTTGTACTATTTTGGACACACTGTCCTCAGGCTCCAGCTTTATGTTGTATGTTGATCGTATTAAAACAAAGAAAACAATCTGAAGTTGTTGTTTTTAAGTTATATATACCATGATTTTTCCGGTCCGGCCCACTTGGGAATAGATTTTCCTCCATGTGGCCCCTGAGCTAAAATGAGTTTGACACCCCTGGTCTACAACATCACAGATGTCAGAAAATGATTACCTAGCAAGTTAGCAAGCCAGCAAGGCAAGGTAAAATATTACAAACAGAGCTAGATAAAGAATAACATACTTGTTGAACATGGCTATAGCCATCAGTCTTGAGTGTTTTCATGTACATCACTCATTCACTTAAGTTTCTCAAGGTCACGACATCAGCGTTACCTATCCTGCAACAGAGCTTTTTGGTGCAAGGATGCGCGCGTATCGCTCGAATGTGGCGTTTGCTTGTAAACAAAATAAATGGCTCTATATTATCAGCAGCTTCTCACTCCAGTGGTAGGGTGCCAATCAAAAATGCGTCTTCTGACCAATGGGTAAAATGTTAATGGTTAATTGTGTAGATACTCCTATAAGAAAACCAATGGTCCAAACCTCATATCTCTATCATATTCCGTTCAAAGATTACTGGAGTTTTTACCCAGTAGGATGGCTAAGATTAGGGTAACTACAGTGGGGAAAAAAGTATTTAGTCAGCCAACAATTGTGCAAGTTCTCCCACTTAAAAAGATGAGAGAGGCCTGTAATTTTCATCATAGGTACACGTCAACTATGACAGACAAATTGAGAATTATTTTTCCAGAAAATCACATTGTAGGATTTTTAATGAATTTATTTGCAAATTATGGTGGAAAATAAGTATTTGGTCACCTACAAACAAGCAAGATTTCTGGCTCTCACAGACCTGTAACAACTTCTTTAAGAGGCTCCTCCACTCGTTACCTGTATTAATGGCACCTGTTTGAACTTGTTATCAGTATAAAAGACACCTGTCCACAACCTCAAACAGTCACACTCCAAACTCCACTATGGCCAAGACCAAAGAGCTGTCAAAGGACACCAGAAACAAAATTGTAGACCTGCACCAGGCTGGGAAGACTGAATCTGCAATAGGTAAGCAGCTTGGTTTGAAGAAATCAACTGTTGGAGCAATTATTAGGAAATGGAAGACATACAAGACCACTGATAATCTCCCTCGATCTGGGGCTCCACGCAAGATCTCACCCCGTGGGGTCAAAATGATCACAAGAACGGTGAGCAAAAATCCCAGAACCAGACGGGGGGACCTAGTGAATGACCTGCAGAGAGCTGGGACCAAAGTAACAAAGCCTACCATCAGTAACACACTACGCCGCCAGGGACTCAAATCCTGCAGTGCCAGACGTGTCCCCCTGTTTAAGCCAGTACATGTCCAGGCCCGTCTGAAGTTTGCTAGAGTGCATTTGGATGATCCAGAAGAGGATTGGGAGAATGTCTTATGGTCAGATGAAACCAAAATATAACCTTTTGGTAAAAACTCAACTCGTCGTGTTTGGAGGACAAAGAATGCTGAGTTGCATCCAAAGAACACCATACCTACTGTGAAGCATGGGGGTGGAAACATCATGCTTTGGGGCTGTTTTTCTGCAAAGGGACCAGGATGACTGATCCGTGTAAAGGAAAGAATGAATGGGGCCATGTATCGTGAGATTTTGAGTGAAAACCTCCTTCCATCAGCAAGGGCATTGAAGATGAAACGTGGCTGGGTCTTTCAGCATGACAATGATCCCAAACACACCGCCCGGGCAACGAAGGAGTGGCTTCGTAAGAAGCATTTCAAGGTCCTGGAGTGGCCTAGCCAGTCTCCAGATCTCAACCCCAAAGAAAATCTTTGGAGGGAGTTGAAAGTCCGTGTTGCACAGCGACAGCCCCAAAACATCACTGCTCTAGAGGATGTTTGCATGGAGGAATGGGCCAAAATACCAGCAACAGTGTGTGAAAACCTTGTGAAGACTTTCAGAAAACGTTTGACCTGTGTCATTGCCAACAAAGTATTGAGAAACTTTTGTTATTGACCAAATACTTATTTTCCACCATAATTTGCAAATAAATTCATTACAAATCCTACAATGTGATTTTCTCATTTTGTCTGTCATAGTTGACGTGTACCTATGATGAACATTACATGCTTCTCTCATCTTTTTAAGTGGGAGAACTTGGACAATTGGTGGCTGAATAAATACTTTTTTCCTCCACTGTAAATCAATGGAGGCCAGTGAAAAAAAGTGGTAATAAAATTAAAATAAGCTTTGTTCTCATTTCCGGAGGACATAAAATAACAGAGGTAAGATGGATATCGATTTTGAGACATGATATGTAGTAATTTCATATTTTAGTATATGCTTTTCTTATTAATGCGAAATTCCTGTTATATTTCTGAAGACTTCTCAGAAAAACAAGCAAATCTCTGAAATGCCAACTGAGCCCTGAGCGTACCACAAGCCTTTTCTTTTCAAAGGCTTTTACATTTAATTCAGCTCGTGTCATGTTAATTTAGCTTTTTGCGATCCGTGGAAACAACTTTGGAAAGGACCACCACAACATATAACATTCTCAAAAGTCGCTGCGAGAAAGCGGCGCAGCTCTGTCAACAGAGCTCGGGGGTGATTCTATCCAGTGTATGTGACAATAAAACAATTAATTTTTTTAATCGGATATATTAGGTTACAAAATCCGACTTTTTGGATATAATGTTAATACAGTATTTTCGAGAAAGACTCCACTGAACGATTTAGAACATGAATCATTTGTCTTGGTAAAATGTATAACATAAGTGAAATTTCATCACCAGAGTGGGTGGACACCCTATCCAGTGTTGTTCAGTGTTTATGGTGGCATAGAGCAGCCCATTTCCTTTCCTTTTCATTGTGTTGTGCATGCCTGAGTTAAAGTGCCTTTTCATGTGTTTGGAGATTGTTTGATGCTAACTTCCTAGCCTTTGTATTTATTGCCAATTGGATTGCTTATATGACGCTACCATTTTCCCTTAGTATAATTCCTTTGTTGGCTGAATATCTCCCGAGTTCCTTAGTTATCGGTGATGTCTTATTTCTGTTGCCTGTTAAGTTATACCATTTACATTTGGAATGGCTGGAGTCAATTGTCTGTGCAAATGGTGGACATGAGCAAATGCTTCAGGTAACAACAAACAGGGACATTTAGAATCACAGAGCAATGCTTAGTGTTGCAAAATTCCCGTAACTTTCCCAAGATTTCAGAAATTCCCAGTTGGAAGATTCCCAGAATCAGGAGGTAATAAGCAGGAAATCCAGTAATTCTCCAACCTGGGATTTCTGGAAAACCTGGTAATTTTTTAAAAGTTATTGGAATTTTGCAACACTAGCAATGCTTCTGTGTATTTTTCTAAGAAATAATTTCCACTAAGGGTGTAGTAAGGCGAGAGAGAGGAGCTCAGCAAACAGAACGTGAACAGGGCCGGCCTTAAGTAGGGAAAAGCTCAATTTTATGCCAGTGCTCAGCGATATCGCGGCACAATTGACCAATCAAGGCGCTATATAGCTTCCAGCCTGTACTGGATTGGCTGTCGATACCCTCATGTAAATCCAATGTCGGCGAATCAAGCGTTTCACAGTTCTAATGGGTAAATTCTGTAAGTTTTACTTTAGGCAACTGAAAACAACATAAAAAAAATACAAATAAAACATTTATCTAATCTGGAATTTGAACCCTTGCCGCGAAAATGACCAGAAGCTAGGCTCGCTACACTGTGAGCTATTTGTCAAGTTGTGCAGTTACACGTGTTTTAGCAGATCGTGGCGTTTTATTTATTTCATGAAAAAGTATTCTATCACGTCCAACTACGTCAACGTTTTTAATTGGCTGATGCAGAATGTGTTCGAGAAAACGTTTCAACCGTAGCTTTCAGCAAGTTCGTAAGTATGGGCCCCGAAAGTTTAGAATGTATTTAGGTACATATAGAACTGGTGTTATGTGTGAATTTAGGTCAGGTCCTCCCGAATCTCTCAGAGATCTGGAATTGTGACCTGTAAAGTCTCACACCTCATCTACGGCCAGCTTCCATTACAACAAGTAACAATTGCCTGAGCAGGAGAAACGCTGTCTGTCCACAATCACATGGAGCTGATGCGCAAGGTGGAATTTTAAAGGAGAGTTAGGATGGATTTTTAGAAGTAGTAGTAAAATAATATAAAATAAGATAAGAATGGTATAGTACGTTTGATAAGTATAAGTTATTTTCTATTTTACATCAATAAACATACATATTCTAGGTATAAAAAATAGTAATGAGTCTGGGTGTGTGTGTCTGTGCGTGAGTGAGTGATTAAGTGAGTGAGTGAGTGATTAAGTGAGTGAGTGAGTGCATATGAATGCACACGTATGCATGTGTGGGTGCATGCATCTGCCTGCCTCTCACCTGCAGATAGTCTGACTGGATGGCAGCCACCAGGTGTTCCTTGCCCAGTTCGTAGAGCACGTCAGAGGTCATGACCTGGCTGAACTCCTCACACAGGAAGTGCATGGCCTGCCGGTGGACCCACTTTGAGCCGTAGGGCTGCGAGCTCCACTTCAGGATGGGCACCACCGTGTCCAGAGAGATGCTCTCCACCACGATGTCCTCGCAACCTGGAGAGAAAAGGACAGAAGGGTTTATGAGGACATAAAGGAGCAAAAATTAAAATATTATTAAGGTTTTGCTTTCCATGATTGCAAAATCTTAGTACTACACTTCACAGTCACTGAACTGAATAAGATCGTCTGGTAACTGAATTGAATGTTATGCAAAGTCTAAAGCCAAGGATGCGACTGTCATATATAATATAGACCTTGCATACTGCAAATGTTGGCACGAGAGCGAGAGATGGAAAGAAGTAAAGAGAGAACCTCTAATTCACCAACATATAATGGCATATTATTATTATTATACACATAGCAACTTTTTTATTCCATAGTTGACAACCTTACTATTTCTCAACCTAGTATCCCCTCCAAACACACACAAGGGGAGATGGAATAATAATACATTGAGGTACAGTGGGACCAAAAATACATATGCATAATAACGACTTTATAAATATTGATAGGAATGTACATCTGAGAAGAATTAAATGGTACAGTGGGGATCAATTAATAATTCACTCGATTGCACACACTGCTGTAGGGTAGTAGTGTTCCACACACAAAGCTATCAATCTCAATATAGTCTGAAAGTTACTAGTTTCCTCAAAAATAAAATGCTTACATTTTAGTGATTTAGCAGACGCTCTTATTCAGAGGGACTTATAGTTAGTGCATTCATCTTAAGATAGCTAGGTGGGACAATCACATCACAGTCAGTCAGTACATTTTTCGTCAAAGTAGCTTTCAGCAAAGTCAGTGCTAGTGGGGGGGTAAAAAGTCAAGTACGAGCGTTAGTTCACGAAAAGGCTTCTTTTTTTTTCACTCCACCACACCATCCATCATCTCTCTTTCCACCCTGACTTTGTTTAGTAACCTTTGTGTCAAAGTGTACGTACGGGTGTGTGTACAAGTCATTTTTGCTGTTCATCTAACACCGGACATCTAAAACACAGATGATGCAAACTACAGAAAACGTTTTCAAGCGATTTGCAAAGGAAAGCGAAAATGTGTGTTTCTTATTGGACAAGTCATGATAGTCCCTCCCTGTTCCAGTTCGTTTTGTTCCATCAGGTGCCTAATAAACATGACCCAGACCATCTTCTGTCAACATCTAAGGAGTTACACACATTGAGCCATGTGTAACATCATTTCAGAGACTGACAGAGCTCATAAAGCTCTGTGGCATGCGTAGGACACCATAAATCAGTCACACATCATCTGACTTCTTGGTGATCTAGGAGGTTGCTCAGAGCTGTATGCTATTTATGCCAATTGAACCATGTCTCTAATGTTCACTGTCGCTAAAAACCTGTCTGAAAGTCCTACTGAGATCTGTGATGGCAATTAGTGAACTAGCATGTCTCCTTGGTGACTAGTTCCTGTGGTGCTTTAGCTCAAATGCTAGTTGATCATGCAAACGTGCTGGTCTCGTTAGCTTAGTCTGTAGACTTGGTCATGTGTGGCTGCTGACACGCTCGTGGCTGTGCACTCTGGTGTTACTGATGTGGAGGGACCGCACCGTTCTTAAATGTCAGCTCAGCGAGCTGGCCCAGAGGCTGGGTATGACATCATAGGTCATGCGAGGTCAGCGCTCTTTGCCGTTCCACAAACTGGCTCTAGAGTTTCTAGTGTGCTCGTAGCACTTCTTGTAGGGTGTTCAACCATAAATAGATTATTTCATTAAATGTTTATGAAAATATGTTAATTCAATAGAGATGGTGTATTTCTGAGTCTTTCCCTTTAAATCAAAATTCAAAAGGCACTTGCACATCTGAGCTATCTTTTTTGCATGTGCATGGTAACAGTTGAATAAGATGAGAAAAAATAAGAAACACCCTTTAAAAATCACCATAGAAACAGCCCCTCTCAATGTTGATTGACCGGGCTTAGAGGAATAGAAAGCCACGGATCTGGAGATGAAGATGTTATCAAGTTTATTTTGATTGGTCCAAAGCACGAAAACGTCTCCAAATGTTACCACCTCCCAACACCGAAATATGAAAGCGATACAACCAAGCTGTGCAGTATAAATTAGCAACAGTCACAACAAACTAACGTTCTTACTTAAAGCATATTAAGGTTATAATATTGTAGAGAACAATCTAATAATGAATAGTGTGATTCAGAATGAAATAGGCTAAAGAAAACTACGTTTAGACATTTATTTAGTAGCACCCTCTTGAATATACCCGTATTTCTAGTTCACTACATTCACGCCCTACTTCTTGTTATGCGTCTGTGGGAAAGGACACGCAGCAACATTCCTGAGATATTAATGGAATGATCCACTGCAGGTCCACTGCTGCCTGATACGTTGCATTATTAGCCCTTTTAAGTTACACAAAGTATTAGTACTTTGCAATTCCTTAAATGTTACCATAAGAAATTAACCAGATTTTCTAAATCATTACTTAACTAAAGGGCAACTGTACATGACCAGGTTTTTACACTGGAAATCATTCCTAGACAAGCTTGTGGCTCTACTCTTAAAAAAGTCATTAGTATTTTTCTCCCGCTCCTCTACAAACAGACGGCCACTACTATCATGGCTGCCGGATTAATACTTAAACTTTACTCTTTTCATATATCACTGCAGACCTCGTTTTAAAAACAGAAAAAAAAATAAAGTGACTGCAAAACAAATAAATGATGTTGTAGAGTTTATATTTCGCTATTTCTTTGTTTATAAAGAGACGGGGGAGCAACAAGAGCATGCGGCGTTGAGGCAGTAAAACGCTAAGCCGTATTGCTGATAGAGAACTAAATGAAAATGTCACTTTAGTGATGGGGTTGTGGAGCGCCCTGCAGAAAGCTGGCTTACGCTTCTCTGCTCTCCTGAGGAGGGATGTGGTTGAGGAGCACTAGCTTGGATTTCTAATACAGCAGCCTGTAAAGTCCAGTCCATCCAACTTCAGCCTGAGTATTTCAGCAGTGAAGGGCATGTGTATTGTTCGATTATAGATGACCTGGAACAATTGGACCTGAGAAGTCTACAATTCAATATCTTAAATGTCCCAGTACAGCCCGGATTTCACAAAAATACTACATATACTGTATACACCACCTATTCACACTTGAAATAAAAAAAACATACAAAGAAAAAATGTATACATTCGTCTTCACCATCAACAGTGATAGTTACCGGTTTTGTTTTCTCCATTTGAAAAGGTTCAATGGCATTGAAAACCTATTTTGCTCACCAGAAACTGAGGCCTGAAATGTGAAGAAGCAGCAACACCCCTGGCCCCATGCAGTGTGTATGATAGGAATTGAAGATGCCCCAAAATATTATTGCGGGCATCAACCAACTGAACTGTGACAACAGCCTGATTTCAAGGTAGAGATTAGAAGGAAATATACGCGATGGGGTCTGTTTTAAAAACAGAAAAAAAAATAAAGTGACTGCAAAACAAATAAATGATGTTGTAGAGTTTATATTTCGCTATTTCTTTGTTTATAAAGAGACGGGGGAGCAACAAGAGCATGCGGCGTTGAGGCAGTAAAACGCTAAGCCGTATTGCTGATAGAGAACTAAATGAAAATGTCACTTTAGTGATGGGGTTGTGGAGCGCCCTGCAGAAAGCTGGCTTACGCTTCTCTGCTCTCCTGAGGAGGGATGTGGTTGAGGAGCACTAGCTTGGATTTCTAATACAGCAGCCTGTAAAGTCCAGTCCATCCAACTTCAGCCTGAGTATTTCAGCAGTGAAGGGCATGTGTATTGTTCGATTATAGATGACCTGGAACAATTGGACCTGAGAAGTCTACAATTCAATATCTTAAATGTCCCAGTACAGCCCGGATTTCACAAAAATACTACATATACTGTATACACCACCTATTCACACTTGAAATAAAAAAAACATACAAAGAAAAAATGTATACATTCGTCTTCACCATCAACAGTGATAGTTACCGGTTTTGTTTTCTCCATTTGAAAAGGTTCAATGGCATTGAAAACCTATTTTGCTCACCAGAAACTGAGGCCTGAAATGTGAAGAAGCAGCAACACCCCTGGCCCCATGCAGTGTGTATGATAGGAATTGAAGATGCCCCAAAATATTATTGCGGGCATCAACCAACTGAACTGTGACAACAGCCTGATTTCAAGGTAGAGATTAGAAGGAAATATACGCGATGGGGTCTGATAGTGACTTGCACAAGAAGTCTCCCTGTCTCTTAGACACACACACATACCTAGACTCCCACCTCAAAGGCGTGTAGAATGTGCCTTCGCAAAGTATTCAGACCCCTTGACTTTTTCCACATTTTGTTATGTTACAGTCTTATTCTAAAATGGATTAAATAAATCTACACACAATACCCCATAATGACAAAGCGAAAAAGTTTAAATTGTTTTGCAAATGTATAAATAAATAAAAAACAGAAATACCTTATTTACATAAGTATTCAGACCCTTTGCCATGAGACTCGAAATTGAGCTCAGGTGCATCCTGTTTCCATTAATCATCCTTGAGATGTTTCTACAACATGATTGGAGTCCACCTGTAGTAAATTGAATTGATTGGACATGATTTGGAAAGGCACACACCTGTCTATATAAGGTCCCAGAGTTGACAGTGTATGTCAGAGCAAAAACCAAGCCATGAGGTCGAAGGAATTGTCCGTAGACCTCTGAGACAGGATTGTGTCGAGGCACAGATCTGGGGAAGGGTACCAAAACATTTCTGCAGCATTGAAGGTCCCCAAGAACACAGTGGCCTCCATCATTCTTAAATGGAAGAAGTTTGGAACCACCAAGACTCTTCCTAGAGCTGGCTTCCCGGCCAAACTGAGCAATCGGGGGAGAAGGGCCTTGGTCAGGGAGGTGACCAGGAACCCGATGGTCACTCTCACAGAGCTCTAGAGTTCCTCTGTGGAGATGGGAGAACCTTCCAGAAGGACAACCATCTCTGCAGCACTCCACCAATCAGGCCTTTACGGTAGAGTGACCAGACGGAAGCCACTCCTCAGTAAAAGGCACATGACAGCCTGCTTGGAGTTTGC